CCCCCCCCCCAAACCACAACCACCACTAATAAAAACAAAAACCAGCCAAACAAAAACCCGTTATAGGCATTGTCACCCTGTTGCTTGTTTCTCTGCTGTCACTAACGCTGGTACTGAATGACATTTCATTGGCTTGGCAATGCTGAATGGATCCCAATGTCTGTTTTCTCTGCAGTTTATTGAAGGATAGGTAAGCTTTTTCCTCATTAGTTCAGGTAGTAGAAGATGCATTCGCTAGGGGGTTGGTGATCTGATTTTTACACTTCAGGGCATATATTCTTATTACACCTACTGTGTTTCTGAGAAATACATTATCCATTACTTGTCAACATCCTGGGCCTTCCCAGATGGTGTAACTTAGATGGATAGCTAGAAGATCCTTCTTAAGTCAAAATGAAGTCCTGCCTTTACAGAAATTCATAAGGGAGTCTAAGCTGTCAGTGGTGTTGATTGAACTATGCTGAAATTTTAGGCAAAAGATTATTTTGTGTCAATACCCCCATCTTTCTGTAATTTTTATCACCTTGTCAAGTAATTGTTAAGAAAAAGTGTGTTTTTACTTTTTGGGACTAGGTTACTTTGGATCTCCAGAACAGTAATGAAAAGTTTGGATGTTTCTTACGGTCTGCCTTAGATGTTCTGTCTCAAATCTTGGAACTTGCTACTCTTCAAGACATTGGAAAGGTATAAGATCTGTGGGGGTTTTTTTGTTTGTTTTTTGTTTTTTTGCAGTTAAATTGTCCAGTATCTGTGGTCTTTACTGGGAAAAAGCACATATCATTGATTTTAAAATTGGTACTGTTGAGAGAGTAGTCCTAGAAGCGTTGTGCTGCCACAACGCTTGTTGGGTAAAGTGCTAAAGCAGATTTTCCCTGTTAAATTGCTGCTGTTGAAAACTGGAGTAATTTTTTTATTGTTTAAATTTCATATGGAGATTTTTCTTTCCAGCAAAATGGTTTGCCTTCAGTCATTCTTACTATATTAATATGTTTAAATATATTCACATTAAATATACAAAATGACCGAAAGCTTACTGCTCTCCTTCCTCTTTTGTGTCTTGGTATTTTTCCTTCTTACCACAATGCCTAACACAACAGTTATTTTAAGACTGGGAAGCAGATCTTGCATTTTTATTCCGTTACATACTTGCACGATTTCCCTTAAAGTAGTATAGTTTTACTTAGTAAAAAAAACAGTGCTGTTGTCCAGTTTTCATAGTAATGCTTTATACAATGAAGAAAAATGCAATTAGGTGCAGTTGTTTTTCTGCTTTTCTAGTGTGTAGAAGAAATTTTGGGATACCTAAAATCATGTTTCAACAGAGAACCAACAATGGCAACAGTTTGTGTACAGCAGGTAAGGAGGCAACTTTCTGTGTGTTACTGGAGGGCTAATCTTGATGTCCTGTGGTTATCAATTGGATGCTAAGACTGGCCATTCTTTTAAGAGAAGCGGTGTGAGGAAACTGTAGCCCAGGTGGAGCAAACAGCATGTTTTCATTAATTTTCATGACTTGTTCTGAAACTTGATACCATCTGAGTAATATAGTTTCTTCCTGAACTGCTTCCAACTCAAAGAACTATTTTAGCTAATGCTCAGAAAACATTTGTTTCCTACCTTCCCAAATATGTTCTGTAGCTAGTTAACTACGTCAAAAACCTGGAAAGCAAAGAACTGCCTTACTGGTGGATTTCTTGGAAGCTTCCAGTTAAACATTTGGGTTCAAGTCATCAAAGCTTAATTTTGGGAGGTGAGCTTTAGTAGACTATTTTGAATTGTCACATGGAAATAGCTTCAGTTGCAAAAACAATCGTATCTTTTTGGGTGAGGTGTGGATTGTTTCTTTTTTCCAGCTTTTTTCTGTCATTTTGTATTTGACTACATGGTCCACAGTTTGCACTTTGACCTTTCCCCTTAAGTTTTTTGGGAGGATGAGTAATCAAGGTTTTTTTCCTGAAATATTAACTTCTTTTTTTCCTTCCAATTTTCTTCTCTAGTTATTGAAAACATTGTTTGGGACAAATCTGGCTTCTCAGTATGATGGCTTGTCTTCAAACCCCAACAAAGCTCAAGGCAAAGCTCAACGCTTAGGTTCTTCCAATTTGAGACCTGGTCTCTATCATTATTGCTTCATGGCACCATATACACATTTTACACAGGCCCTTGCTGATGCTAGTCTAAGGAACATGGTTCAGGCTGAGCAGGAACACGATGCTTCAGGGTAACTTTCTTCCCTTACAATCTAAAGCTAACTTGAACTAGACTCTCTTTTTATTGTTTTTCATAAATGCAAGTATCACAGGGGAGCCAAGTAATTTGAAATTACAGTACTGTGTATTATATATTTCTTGTAGACTTAAGCAGCGTAATTTGTCTTGGTAGTGAGATCCTGAATGCAACACTGTGTTGATTATCACTAATGTGTTTTCCAAATCAAAGCTAAATCATTAAAATGGATATCACTTAAGTTTGGGGGTTTTTTTAAAGCATTATAGTTTTAAATACTTGTATTCAAAACTATTTCATTAATTTGCTAATTATAGCAAATAGTAGTCTTAAAGGAAAGGCAGAAGGATGACTAAGCAAAGACTAGAAATTCTTTGTCTACTAGATGTTTGTTGGCCACAAATCTGTGATCTGATCAAAGTGTACTGTAGGTTGTCTCTGTTGCTTTTTTGTTTTGCTAAGATTCTTAAAGCAGTCAAGTAGATAAAGAAAAGTTGGCATTGGTAAAACAATATGCATCTAAGGAGCATGTGTTTGTCCCTTCATTTTTTTTAATGTGTATGGTTTTTTGGTTTTATTGTGACAGATGGTTTGATGTGTTGCAAAAAGTTTCTACACAGCTGAAAACTAGCATTACCAGTGCAGCAAAACATCGTGCTGATAAGGTACTTTTATCTATGTACTCCTGAAAGAGCTGTACCTTAGATTTAAAACTTTTTTTATTCCTTTTAAAAAGTAATTTGGTTTTGAATCAGAGACCCGTTCAGATGTTAGATTACTTTAAAATCTCTCTATTACAGAATGCTATTCACAGTCACATTCGTTTATTTGAACCCCTTGTCATAAAAGCATTGAAACAATATACTACAACAACATCGGTACAGCTGCAGAGACAAGTTCTAGACTTGCTTGCTCAACTGGTTCAGCTACGAGTTAACTACTGTCTTCTGGATTCGGATCAGGTTGGTGCTTCACGATTTTTGCAAATTTGTAATACAGAGATCTCACCAGCAGGCTTAATATTTACAGCAAAAATATTTGCAACAATCCATTCACTTTACTAAAGGGGGAAACAAAAACCTAAAGGGGGGTGGGCCCCAATTCCCCCCCCCCCCCCCAAACACAGAGCTTCAGATTTCTGGTTTTCTATCGCATATAAATTACTTCCTAAGCTCTGCAACAACTATTAAAGAACTTCATTTAAAAATAGAAATACTTTTTTTCTATATTGAGAGTATGGACTTACGTATGACTGATAGCATCGTGGTTGACAACGCTTATTTGATTTTAATAGTGGGGGTAAGCTAGTGGCAAATACAGTAGTCTGTGTGGTTGTCCATATAAGCAGTAAATTTGTAACATAAAATAAAATTTAAGTGTTTTATTTACAAGTGTTTTACTTCCAACAGTATTTTCACGTTTATAAACTAGTATGAGTTGCAAGACATAACTTTCCTGTAAGTTCGTACACAGATAAATCTTTTCAATGCATGAATACTTTGGATTTTATCTTGGTTTAGGGCTAAATTTTTGGCTCATTCTTAACTTGACTGTAATGCCTCAAACAGTGTGTGTGACATGAGTGAGAGAGAAAGCTATACTTAAAAATATAGAGACTATAGGTAAAATGTTGCATAAATTAATGCAAAACATAAGCTCTAACATCAACAAGATTCTCGAGATCTTCTGTAACTGTAAGGCAACACTTCATAACGTATTAAAATGAACTATAGCTGATTTTCAGTGCCTGTCTTTCCTTTCTCTCCTTTCAAAACACACACTTTTATAACTCTGTCAAAATTATTTCGAATGGGAATTAATGTGTCTATATCTGTTGTACACTTTATTCTCTCTTTAGGTGTTTATTGGATTTGTGCTAAAGCAGTTTGAATACATTGAAGTAGGACAGTTCAGGTATGAAATTAGCAAAGATCTTTTGAATAGTGCGGGTTTACAGCTGTCTTATTCTGAAGCATGCAGTGATTAGTTTTGCTGGTTATTTCTGCCTTAAAAGAAATGGAGAGTTACCTTCTGGGCAATGTGTTTGTTGGTTCTCTGGCTCCAGTGGTAGCCCTTTCAGATGATCTAGGTTTCATGAGGCTGACGAAGTCGGGAAGTAGCATGGAAAAAAAAATAAATCTTAAGCTATGTTGATTTGTTTCTCCATTTGGTATTGTAAAACCATTCCTTTGGGATCTCCCCCACAAAGCTATGCTTTCAGGAATCAGCACTTCATTGGTAGGATTCAGTTACTGAAGGGAGAGCTACTTCTTCCTATTGTGGATTCAGTGTGAATCCGTATGTATTCTGATCACTTGGTACATTTTGTATAGTACCTAATAGATCATAAGGAACGCAGTGGAATTTTTATTGTCAGCTGTTTCTCTTTTTTCTCACACTTGAGTTTGTATAAAGAGGTAAGTGGGATTTTTACTCCAATATGTGTCATGTGCATTAGATAGTATGTTATAATGTTAGTAACTGTGTAACGGTCAAAGGTTGAAAGAAATCCCTTGGAAGAAAACCCATAGTAAAGAACATGGCACAAAAATTATAGAAATCCTGTATGAAAGCAGAACAATACATTCTTAAAAAAAAAAATCTTACTGTAAAAAGATTCATTTTTACTGAACAGTTGTGCAATTCAAACTTGACACTTTTAACTTTTTATTTTCAGGGAGTCTGAAGCAATTATTCCTAATATCTTTTTTTTCCTGGTGTTGCTGTCTTATGAGCGGTATCATTCCAAACAGATAATTGGAATTCCTAAGATCATTCATCTGTGTGATGGTATCATGGCCAGTGGGAGGAAAGCTGTTACACATGGTAATTAAAATAAAAAAAGAAGGCACCAACACTAATATTAGTAATAGTTCAGCAATAAAACCAGTATTGAATGCTAAGCTATAGAAAGCTGTAATCATATGGATTGTTCCAGAAGACACTAGCTTTTAAATTTTTAATACATGAGATAAGTCTCACTTAATTCCTTCAGGAAGGTTACTGTACCCTACTAACACTGCTACCCCATATTTTGCATTGTACATAATAGCAACAAAGCTTTTATTTGAAACTTTATTAGGTAATAAGTTCACAACATAGCAGTACTTTAAAGGCTTTCATTTTAATTTTTAGTCCCCTTTCCTTTCTCTCCACTTTCAGCCTTTAAGTAGAAGCATATCTCTCATACTTTCTGGTGATTCTGCTGAGAAATACTTCATAAAAGTATCTATTTTAGCTCTATGAGCAGGGGCAGATGGGTCCATAATATAAATTTTCTACTAGAAGTAAAAAGATAGACATCATTTTGCATTGTAAGTTTGGGGTTTGTTTTTGTTTGGTTTTTGGTTTTTTTAGGGATGGGTAAAACATTTAATAAACTAAAGCGTGGTTTACTTTTAGTAGCTGAAGTGTTAGAACAAGAAAACGGTGTTCAAGAGTGGCTTGTCTTACGCTAAAACAAATCTCATTTTAGCAATACCAGCTCTGCAACCCATCGTTCATGATCTCTTCGTGTTAAGAGGAACAAATAAAGCTGATGCTGGAAAAGAGTTGGAAACACAAAAGGAGGTGGTAGTGTCAATGCTGCTGAGACTTATTCAATACCATCAGGTAAGAGAGGAGGACAAAGCATTCCTGTTTGCGGCCTATAGAAGGGTAACATTGCTCTGAATGCTAAAAATGCTTCAGGCAATATTAATGATTTTCTATATAAAACTTGAATAGCTGGACTCTGTGTGTGATCTTTCCTTAGAGAGTACGCAAAGATTTTTGGGGGTAGGGGAAAGGTTCTGCACTACAAATCAGTTTTTCAAGTCAAACAACATGTCTGTGGGATTTTGTAGTCAAGCCTAGGTAACAAAGCACTGAAAAGCTCCAGATAGGATCACGATCTTGGTTGTGTTGCACATTGAATAAACAGAAGGTTAGTAGATGAGTTGTAATAAATTAGGATTCAAGAAACTGAAAAGAATGAGGGTAAAAGTAGAAGAGAGGACAAGATTAAAAGTAGGAAACATGCTGCATAGAGATGATTTAGGTGTTGCTGTACAATAACAATATCTTCAAAAATATTTTAAAATGTGAATTACTTGAATGAGGTAATGAAACTGGTAGTTAGACAGTTGTTAGCACTTACTACTTTGCCCCAGACCTCATGGGTCTGGAAGACATGTTTCTGCCTTGTAGGAGTGTAAGAATGACTTTCTTCAATACACTTCGTTTAAAAGAAAAACATAAAAGTAATTTTAAGAGAAGTGACATAATTGACATGGGACCTTATTGCTTATTCAGCTGCTTAACAAACTTAATGTGCTTTTCCTTTCATTGTGTTAAAATGCAGTTCTAGTGTATGCTAATGTAAGCAATGTATTTTGTGAGCATAGTTGGAAAAAAGTCAGTACATCTTGTCAAAATAATTTGTTAGAACTGCATGTTCAGATTGGGGTAATTTTGTGTATCCACATTTTCTTTTGAATTTGTGCTTTTATAATCATAAAATGACTAATATAACTATATGAAATGACAGTCTGTAGACACATGATGTGAAATAGTGAATAACTTTGTTATGTAAGGTACTGCAATTGCTAGCAGATCCCCTTCTGACACACTTAACCTATTAAAGGCCACCCATGCACTGCTCTTCCCACACCATCCCATTTGTCGTTCTTATTCTGTCCTGTTCTCCTGGTGCAATACATATAAACTAACCCCTGGGCAGTTCTGTTGTTCCCTGGCTGTGGCTGCGATGTTCCACAGTGGTGTCCCTGTACCTTGAGAGGCTCCAAGAGCTGCAACCTTTAACTTTTTTCTGTTACAATTGTAGCTACCATCCATGGAGCTCCAGACTTCGAGTCATTCAGCCCAGACTTGCTCCTATCTCCTCTGCTGTGAGAAAGGCTTTTGGGGAAAGAAGTCATCTAGTGATCACGTTTTCTTTTTTTCTTTTTTTTTAATTGGCTGCATTTCTGACTTTGAACTACTTGGAGCACTTGTAAAAGAAATTCATCTAACTGGTTTTCTTCTGTCCCGCTTCCCAGTCCATATATTAACATTCCTGCTTGCTGCGTCTTTGGCCTGTCTGTCCTTGAAAGTGTGGTCTCCATAACCCTCAAACCGATAACACGTTCAGCTACTAGAAGCGATCCTTGCTGGTGCTGGTGGTGTGTTCCATTATATGCTCTCCTATAAACTTTTATATAAAAGTGGCATATCTCAGGTGAATGAGCTCCATAAAAATGTCTGTTTTGTTTCCTTGACCAAATCTAAACTTTATTTGAGCTAGACTAAAGAAAGAGTATACACGTGGGAAATTACTCTTTTCTTTCCTCCCCTCTTTGTTGAGTATGCGATGTGGCATTTAGATTTACTATCCTTTTTCCAGCTGTTTGAGTAGTCTTTTGACAAATGCAACTTAAAAAGGACCAAGAAAGCATTTTTTTTTTCTAGTTTACTAAAGTAACTGGAAAATTCTTTAAAAATAAAAAGAAAGTCATAACTAAGAACAAGCTTTTAACCTGGAAATGGGGTTTTAAAAATGTGTGATTTCTCATGTGGATTTTTTCTTTTTTTTTTTTTTTCTTCTTTTTGGCAGTGGATGAAACAGTAAATTTTTTTTCCCACTATGGTATGACTTAAATGATTCCTGTTAGTGTGGGTGTTTACTTGCATTCTTTTGGACTTTTCCTCAGGTGCTAGAAATGTTCATCTTAGTATTGCAACAGTGTCATAAAGAAAACGAAGACAAATGGAAGAGATTGTCTCGGCAAATAGCTGACATTATTCTCCCAATGCTTGCAAAACAACAGGTGGTTATATGATTTTTTTTTTAATCTATAAACGTCTAAAATAATTGTTAAAATGTATGTATCAATAATGGCTTTAGGTATTTGATTATTTTATTCTTTTTATACATGAAGACAGATTTTCTTGAAAGTGTGGTTGCCATATCTAAAAAAATTACTGCAAGGTAAACTAAGTCTTTGAAGTGATGAAGGTCATATTTAAATGCATGAAGTATGTGCAGTATCTTCGAGGCTGTTTCCAGAGGAAGCTCATTCTACTTATGTACATGATTATATCAGAGCACTTATTAAATGGTGTGAAGATTCTCCCATGTTTATAGAATGTCAAAATTATTTTTTTGTAACTGCAGTGGGTCTAATTGCATTTTTTTCTTAGGAGAGTGAAGACATAGTCTGAAACTGCATTAATAAATCACAGAATCATGGAATAGCTGAGGTTGAAACGGACCTCTAGATACTGTCTTCCCCTCAAAGCAGGGCGTACTGGAGCAGGTTGCTTAGGCCCATGTCCAGTCAAGTTTTGACAGTCTCTAAGGATGGAGCCTCCATAACCTCTCTGGGCAACCTCTTCCAGTGTCTGAGCATCCTCACAGGCAGAAAACAAATAAATAAAACCCGTATACAAATGGAATTTCCTGAATTTCAACTTGTGCCTATTGCCTTTCATCCTGGTACTAGATACCATTGAAGAGATTCTGGCTCTTCTCCTGTAGTTCTGTTGTCTCTTCCAACCGCTTCCCCTGGTCAGATACTTGTACACATTGATAAAGATCCCCATGAGCCTTCTCCAGGTGGGACAATCTCAGCTGCCCCTTGTATGACAGATGCTCCAAGCCTGTAACCATCTGTGTGGCTTTCTGCTGGACTCCCTGCAGTGTGAGCATGTCTCTTTCACTGGACTGCACACTGGGGATGGAGAGTAGGCCCTTTGTATCTGGGAAGAAAAGACGACTCCTTTCAGGATAAAGTTGGGGGTTTTTTGTTTTGTTTTGTTTTTCAGTGCTGCTCCCTAAGAAACAGAGGACTTGACTTTGATACAGCTTTCCTGGAATTAGAAACACTTACTTCAAGGATAATAAGTAAAACTAGTGAATTTGTGCCCTTAATGTTCTTTACTCCATGATGGCAGATCCCCACTCCCATGAGGAGATCTCGTGGTTGGGGAGAGTTGGCAGTTATTGTGGATCAGACAACAGTTTTTGAGCAAAGCTAAAATGCTGGCAAATTGAAATTGTCTTTGTTTTGTATGAATCTGTGCACATGCTCAACTATCAAATTATTTAGGCAAGATAGTCATCCAGATTTCAAGTCTAGTCCTTTGCTTTTGGCAGTTGATTGTTTTATAATTTATCTAAAAAACTGATCAAGTAAGTTGTCTTACCTCTGTTGCAGCAGTGTAATACCATTGTACCTCCTCACTTTTCTGATGATTAGGATTTTTTTTTTCTCCTAGTTACCAGCTTAAGTTTATTCACGACCAGCTTTGTTCTCTATAAATATGCCTGGTAGGATGTGCAGGGAGGAGAAAAGTTTTTAAATTTTATGACAAGTCAGTCTTTTGGTCTCATTCTGAATATGGCATATTTTTCCTAATAAAATATGTGGTATGTATAGTGAATTTAATTTGATAGATTTTGGTCTGTGTTCTCAAAACTCCTGTGTAGGAAGGCCTGCAATGAAGCTTTAATTTACCTTTCATAGCTTTTGGTTACTCTAAATTTTGTACTGTAAAGGACAGCTTTATTACACACAGGTTGTCACAGAAATGTTTAAATCATGAAATGGTAATTTTTGTGTTGCAGTTACCTTTAGTGGATAGTTACAAATCAGTTTTGTGTTTTTCTCTTACAGATGCATATAGACTCTCATGATGCTTTGGGAGTATTGAACACTTTGTTTGAAATTTTGGCTCCTTCATCCCTTCGCCCTGTGGACATGCTTTTAAGGAGTATGTTTGTTACTCCTAAAACAATGGTAAGCAGCTCTTTCCAGAGAAGAGACAATCTGGTGTCTTTCATGCAAAACAAAAGAGCATGTGTTTCTTTTTCTTAATTTGCAATGTGGTGATGAAGTACCTGCAGAAGATTTTAGGAAGGAGTTGGTTAGAACTAATATTGTTTACCAACTGGGAGCACTTTATATAGGAATGTTCTGCTTTTGGATTACTTGCCTTCATTTTGTATTTTGAGGATCAGGAATGTAGAGAAACATACTGTTACAGTAAATTCTAGAATGCAGTTTAATAGGCAAATCACACTTTTGTTATGCAAGTATTAGTACCGTTTTTATAGTTGAGAGATTGTTTAACTTCAAAGGTATTCAACACAGCATAGGAATGTATTCCAAAAACCTAACATTTTCATTAACTGTTGTATAAAAACCAGGCTCTTTTGAGAATGGAGCAAGCAGGAAATAAATTTTATGTTCACATCTTCCAAAATGCTATTCTTGTGGTAACTGTCAAGCTTATATTCACTCTGTTTAACAATCTTCTGTATTTTTGTGTTTGTTTTAGGCATCAGTGAGCACTGTCCAGCTATGGATTTCTGGAATTTTAGCTATCCTTAGAGTTCTGATTTCACAGTCAACAGAAGACATCGTTCTATCCCGTATACAAGAGCTTTCTTTCTCACCATATTTGATTTCATGTCAAGCGATTAGCAGACTGAGACGTGGAGAAAATAACTTACCTGCACCAGAGGATCGCACTGAGGTTAAACAGGCTAAATATCTGCCTGAAGAGACATTTTCTAGGTATGTTTTCTCTTGAATAACTTGGGAGAAAGATTTAAGGTTTCTGAGAAATCACACGTATATTGTGCAATATATACACATGTATAGAACTGTTATCTGATAGGAATAAAGTCTGTTAAGTACTTGATATGGGAGGAGTGTGTGCAGAGAAAGGAATAATGAGATGAACAGTAGAGGGAGGAGATGAGCAGTTTGTGTTAGGGACTTTGGACTGTTTTGATACCTTTTGATACCTACCAAGTGACGGACCTAATGGAGCTGTTAGAATGGGTGAATCCTGGACTTACTATAATCAGGTCCAAAAACTTAATTGGTTAACCCTTTCCTTCTTCCCTGTGTGGGGACTGAAAGATGAGTCATCCTGTTAGTAGAAGGCCAGGTTCTGTACTAGAATCTTGGCAGCAGATGGATTCAAATCTATTAAGTTAGTCCTGCTCTTTATTTCCTATTTTTAAAGAGCTGGCATTATCCAGTTAGCTTCCCATGCTAATGTCCTCAGAGAGCGACAAACGTCAGGCAAAAGAAGTGTGGAGAGATGGCAGCGGTATTACATTGACATAATGTTTGTCATTAAGGCATTATGTTTTAATGTGGTGGGAAGCATTTGAAATAGCTATTTGTTTAAGGAAATAAGAACTTTTTAATCAAGTGTGGAACTTCAGATAGAAATAAAGTGCTGTTTCTTATCATTCAGCTCACTGTGAGGGTGATGAGTAAAGGGAAAAGGGGCTTCTGGAGTCCCTTAATGTGACCTTATGTCCAACACGAGTGACTTGAGGAACGATTATGGCCAGGAGCAAGGATGGCTTTCCTCAAATGCTCTTTTTTGGTGTTTCTTTTGATTTATTTCCCTCCCCCTCCCGCCCCCTGGCTGGAGGTTTGATATGGAACCTCTGTGATAGAGTGTGGATAGATGAGGCTGTAAGCAGCTGAATGACTGTGACTTGCTGACTTCACCCCTCCTCAGCTGAGCTGCGATAACTGTCATGGTGTAGTTTTAGCTTATTGCAAATCACTATAAAGACACCATAGCATTGTGAATGTTTGCTGTGTAAATGAGGTAGGCAGGTGTATGGATGCTGTCATGACTTTAGCTGATAAGTAGATAACCCAGATCCAATATGTAATTATTGAAGCGCTTGTGATCATCTCTCTATACCTATAGCATCATATTTGTTTTAGGTCAACCTGTTCTGTAGCATTTAATTTAGCATCCTATTTAGAATGAATGGACAAGGACTTCATGTTTTATTTTTCAAACTTACTGAGTTTTGTGGGCAAACCTCATCTTATTCTGAAAGATGTTGCACTGATAGTTTTTCCCGCTGATTGTATACATGGTTTTTCAAGGTTCTTATTACAACTGGTTGGCATTCTACTGGAAGATATCGTTACCAAACAACTGAAAGTGGACATGAATGAGCAGCAACATACTTTCTACTGCCAGGAGCTGGGCACACTGCTTATGTGCTTAATACATATCTTCAAATCAGGTAATACTTTAAACACTGCCTGCGGGGGCAGGGCTTTGTTTTTTTTCAATTCTGAGACAATTGTTGAATGTGTTTAACTACTGAGAAGGAAAACATAGGTGCTCAAGACATTCTATCCTATTCATTATAAAGAACCTCCCAAACTTTGTGCTTGTGCATGCAGGGCACATTTTTCACTTTTTTTTCTATGTGGAACAAAATATCACTAGTGACTCTTTATCTCTCCTTTTAACTGTCTAAAATCTTCCAGTCCAAAAATGCAAAGCATTCCAAATTTGTGGTTGTATTTCTCTTGTTTTTACTCAATTTGGAGGTTGGTAGGTATGTCCAGGCTTAAAATACCAAGTTACAGACCACTAGTTCAGACTCAGGACAAGGTAGGTTCCTGTTCTTTGTCAGAATTAGTAAAAACATATAAAAAACCCCAAACCAAAACAAAAAAACAACCAAACAAAAACCCCCAAAACCAAAACCAGAAAAATAGGAAACGTAGTACTGTTCCAGCTAGCTGGTCTTGAGCTCCTTTCTTCAGGTTTGGGAATTCTGCCTTGGGTGTCTTCTGCTAGATATCCAATCTCTGGCCCTTCGGTGTAATTCCTTAGCCTAATTCTGTAACTTATTTTCATAATAGCGGCACTATCTTCCCTTTATTTTATTCTTTTATTCTTTCTTTGCTGTGACTGTCGGTTTTGCCTTCTAATTTTCAGCCTGCAGCTGAAATCCAACCTTGGATTACAGTAGTTGGCTGCAATTTAAAAGGTCTTGACACAAGTCCCTGGTTCTTCATAGAGTTCCGTACAGACACAGGACAAGAACTCTGCATTCCATGGCCTCATCTGTAAAATGGGAGTTATAACACACTATTTAGCAGATGTGACTAACCAAAAAAGTGCATGCAGAATACTGTTGTTAGACATTTAAGATGATTCTGTGCTCCACTGTATCCCAACAACCTCTAATCTTTTTTCTTTTTAAGCTCTTCCTACAGAGTTCAGTTATGAAGTCCTTTCTTGAGGGAAAAATACTTAGTTCTGTTCCTGTCATTGCTACCAGCTGCTTCTTGCAAACATAAGTATTGTAGGTGTAGATATAAATAAATAAATAGAGTGCTGATGGAAATGTTCTGGGTCTTCAACCGGTTCTCTATCAAAGCTCAAAGCTTCTGCATTGCCTTGATTTAACTTCCAGTAACTTTAATCCTCCTAGTCTTCAGTGATAGTAACAGATAGAAAAGCGAATGGGAAGCCAATTGAATTATGTTGTGAGAGTTTGTGCAGCCATGGTGGATGATGTTTTGTCTTTTGACTTGTCAGAAGAGAACTTTGGCTTAAGAAAAGAAGTCCTGCAAACCTAGGTTCTTGCCGCAAAGACCCCAGGATTGTGCATGAAGAGGCACAAAATGCGGTGATAGTTACCAGAGCCTTCCTTGATCTTTGTTTTAAGCCTGCTCTAAGATGTATTAAGTGATAGTTCTCTTTTCCCATGTGTCTGTTACAATAATAACTGTTTATACTATTAATTTCTGTTATGGAGAAACATTTGAAACAAATATTATAAAAAATAACTTATGCCAGGGTGATTTGGAGTAAGTGATAAAATGGTGTCAAGCCAAGACCAATGAAATCAGAAAATCAAGCTGGTAATTGAAGTCCGGGAAGTGGGTTCTTCCACAGTGGGAGCTGGGGATAATGGAAAGGGAAGGCTCAGGCTAGTTCTGCTGCAACAATTGGCTTCTAAGCTGCACTGTGCGTCTTGCCAAGAACTATGTAGAAATGTTCATACAAAATTAAAATGCTAATGCAGAGCACTGGTGTATGTGTATTGCATGATCTCTAGAAATGAATTTAATGTAAGACTACAGATCAATTCTAAGTACTAGTTGTAATGTGGTTACCTTATACTGTGTAACACAGTAGAAGGAAAGTTGTTCAGACATCTGGGCTGTATTTTCATGTTGTAGCATTTTCTTTCAGGTTTAGGCTTAGGGTTAACTAATTGCTTGGTTTTGTAATACTTTCTTCAGTTAAAACCTCTATAATTTTTTTCTCTTTAAGTTATAGTCTCCTAACTACAGGTGCAGCTTATAGCGACTTGTGTTTGGAAACATAGAGCAAGGTCTTCTATGATTTTTAACCACTATTCTACTTGGATGTTTTGTCTTCGCACCCATTATAGTGTTTTCAAAATGTGAGCATTGCTGACTCCTATGTATTCAACTATAGGAAGCTGCCAGATTAGAAATGAACATTTTCAGTGTGCTACTTTGAAGTTAGTAGAAATAAAAGGCATAGATAAAGTGGAAAGATTAGCATGCAGTGGCTTTCATGACTGTAGAAGTCACTAGATGGTGCAATTACTGCAAATGCAGGAAGCTGGAATGGTAATAGCACTGGTTTGCTGGTAAGCGGAACCCAAGTTTTGAGACTCAGTTATTTTTCCCGTTCTTTGCTATTTACATTGTGTATTTATCAGTCCTGGGGGCAGCTTAAACTGGTCCACGTGGCTGTGGAATTTACAGCTTCATTCTTCAGTATATCTGGTGAGGCAAGCAAGCAACATTACAGATCTCCTTCATTAATTATTCTGATCAGCTTTTGGTTTATAACTGGTTCTGAAGAAACTCGTTTTTACCTGATCTTATCTCCTCATAGAAACTCAAAGTCCTGTACCTTTAGACAGCTTTAAGTTTGCTCATTTTCCTTGTTTTCCTACCCTTTGTTCTGGCATGTGAATACAGAATCAGCAAGTCAGAAAGCAAAATTCAGCTTTTGTGCCAAGTGTTCAGTATGCAGGGTAATGACTTTTCTCCACTTAAAAACATTTACTTTTTGCATGTTAGAAATTGGTTGGAAGGGTATCAGTTTAGTTTCAACTAACTGTATTTGAGAACCCAACTTCTGAGGCAGGCTACTTGTAAGCAATCTATCTTAACACGTAGAATAGTAGTTACAGCATGGTTCTTAATTAGAACTTCTGTATTTTACTTTATAAGCAAAACAAAAAAACCCCTACCCCAAAATCCTCGTCTGTAATTAACAGTTTTAAATTTGGTAAAGGTTTTGTGTATCAGATAAACTTTTTTATGGATGACAGAGAAAAAGTTGAGAAGATAGGTTTCATTACAATTCTAGTCTATCTAAATCATTATTTATTGAGTTTGGGAGCTGATCGTTACTGGTTTACACACACTGCCCTTGGGCAACCTATTACTTGCCTTACATTTGTAAAACCGCTTAGGATGTACCTTTCTTCCAGGAATGGTAGTGTCTTATGAAACAAGTTTTGTATTCTCAGGGTACCCTGAATAATTTTAAAACTTCAGGATTCAGACTAGAGCATAGTTACTCTAACATGCTTTTATTTTCAGGGATGTTTAGAAGAATCACAGCTGCAGCCACCAGACTTTTTACAGGAGATGGATCTGATGATAGTTTCTATACCCTTGAAAGTTTGAGTGACCTTGTTCAGTCCATGATTCCCACGCATCCTTCATTAGTACTTCTCTGGTGTCAAATTCTGCTTCTTGTCAATTATACCAACTACAACTGGTGGTCAGAAGTGCATCAAACCCCAAAGTAAGGTTTGTTTTTGATCCCTAGTAGTAGTAGTGTGTCTCAATTACATTTGCTAAAATAATATTTTAAAAATCTGGCTTTTTTTCTGCTAAGCCTGTCAGCCTGTTGAATAGTACTATTTGGATTCTGAAATAGATAGTTCTCCATTTACTTTACGTGTATACATATTGTCTGTTCTGATGTCAGTATGCCTTTCAGACTAAGGAAGTGTGTCATGCACTCAGTTGTTCCTCAAAAGAACTGCCAGGTAATCTGTCTATTTTTAAGGCAAGAAAACTTCATCCATGTACTACTTCTAATTAAAATTATGGAAGTAGCTACAGCAAAATATTCAGTATTTCGTATTTCATGTGGAGACTTCATATTTCACCTTCCAGCAAATAACCAGCCAATGTTGTTTATGAAAATACAATCTGATCAGTATAACTGTAACTATAGTTATATCTGTTCTCTGTTCTCAGTGGGTCTATTACTAAATCCTGTCAAAACATAGTATCAGCACCATGCTGATTCATTAGTATCAAGCACCATAGTAACCTCACTTAACTTTAGCTGTCTGAAATTTGGGGATTTGGTCTAAAATGAGTGTTCTCTTGGTCTGAAGTTAGTTCATACCACCTGTCAGGCATTGGAATGATTTGTCCTATGGGGGTAAGGAAGGTACCCCATGTGTGGGTGGATATCCCTCTGTGTTAACTGTGTAGAGGGAGAATGACAACTGACTTGAGACGTTTCTGATGCTTGTGTAGTGAATGTTAGGGAAGACTAATCTTGTTCTACAACATGAGTGGATCAGTACTTGCTCAAAGTGAGATTCTTGCCTCAGTTCAACCTCATGATGTGAAAAAATATTATTCTAATTTGAAGAAACATGAAAGTACTAGGCTTATGAGCAAAGTAGGACAACTAAAATAGCTAAGGTGACACCTGCTGTTTGTTGCAGTTATCTTTTTTGATTTACCAATATCACCTGTATTTTTTCTGGCTTGGGCATCACTTTCAATCTGACATTAGACTAAGTGCTCGAGAACACTGGTTTGGCTTGAGAAGAAAATAGAGTATTAGGTTCTGTTATCCTACCAGAGATGCAATAGCCCATGTTTTCCTTTTAAGTAATGTGTTCAGTTCTTCAGAAGTTCTTCAGACTGTCCAAGGAAGTAATGAGCACGGAGCAAAAAAGTGATACTATAATTGTTAGAAAGTAAAGAGCTGATGGAAAGCAGAGTGTCTACTTCAAAGCAGTCTAATGTTTGAAGAAATTTCTAGGAAAATAAATATTATGTAAGGATGTTGGTAGGATATTCCAAGCAATTTGATTGTTAATGTTTCAGTACCCATAGCAATAAAAGAGTACCAAAATGTAATGTTTCTTGCAGGAGACATAGTCTTTCTACTACTAAATTGCTTAGCCCTCAGATATCTGGAGACAGTGATAAATCGGATTCAGAATCTAAACGTGGAATGTGCAATCGAGAGATAGTGAGAAGAGGAGCACTCATTCTTTTCTGTGACTACGTTGTAAGTTTTGAATTACAAATTTTATAACCATAGATTTGAGTTATTTTATTATGGTGACAGTCTTTTATTACTGATGTGCATTAACTGAATCTGGTTCACAAGTGAAAAATGAAGACTTATAAAACTAGTCATTTTATTTTCAGGTGGTGCTTCTGTAAGCTTAGGTATGATCTCATTTGGTGTTTTTTTCTGTTCTGAACTGAGAATTCTCTTGGCTTGGAAAGGATACCTGGTGGGTAATAGAATTATCTGCTGGGTATCATATCCCTTACTTGTGAGGTGCTAGGAGCACATGAAGTAGTGTTAGACTTCCCAACATCAGTAGCAGTGCACGGTGTCTAGGAGACAACAAATTTATGTCTCTATAATATTAAACTTCTGTTTTGCTTCTCTAATGAGAGTAGTTCCTGTGGCTTTGGCCTCTTGCTGCCTCAATATTAGCATTTTAGTTCATTGGGAACTTCTGAAGTGAATCTTCCCATAATATCTAGTATTGCAGTTTGGTTTGCATTGCAGAGCAGTTTTGGGACAAGCAAACTGCATTCCTTTCAGATTCAACTAAACCAAAAGCTATTTTTAAGAAGCTCTTTTAAGTACTAATGGATTTTCAGTCACCAGAGTCAGATTAGAGGTAGACCAAGGGTAAAACCCTCCAAAACTCTCTTTACTGGGGAGTGTCAGCCTATCAGCATCACCTGGTTAGCTCTACAGACCTTTTCATGTTGCGTTGCACTGTTTGGTGATATACACATAGCCTCTGTAGGCTTAAAATTAATTATTGACAGATCTCTTCGGATTTGCTTTCCAGAAATTATTCATCTTGTGTTTAAGGCCAGTAGTAATAAGAAATCTTTAAAAAGAAGCCTAATGAAAATCACATTTTACAAGAAGACTGTGTACATGCATGTTTATTTCAAACAGCATTTCATTAAAAGCAGCATCTTTGAGTTAACCTTCTCAATTTACTTGTTTTTAACCTGGATTTTTAGTGTTTTAAAGAAAATAATTTACAAATTCATTATAAATTTCTTAATTTGCAACAAGATCAAAAGCATTTGGGAAATGTGTCATGTAAACATAATGATGGTGATATTAAAATATAGATGCTTTATGCCATTATTTTAAAATAGCTACCAGAATTATATATGAAAAACTTCACATTGTGTCAGATGAAGTTTTTGGTAATTAAATGCTCAACATGGGTATTACTGGAATCAGATTTTCATTTTTTCCCCTTCAGTGTCAAAACCTACATGATTCAGAACACTTGACCTGGCTTATTGTGAATCATGTTCAAGACTTGATTAATCTGTCCCATGAGCCTCCAGTACAAGACTTTATTAGTGCTGTTCACAGGAATTCAGCAGCCAGTGGTCTCTTTATCCAGGCCATTCAATCACGGTGTGAAAATCTTGCAGCTGTAAGTTTTAACTTTTTTACTTTTTTAAAGAATAAAGTCACTTATATTTCAGCGTAAGTTTAACTGATGAGTATGCAAATTCTGACATTTCTGGGTCATTTATCAACTTATTTTATTTTTAAAGTAACTTCTTTAAGCATGCAAACAGCAAACCTTATAATGTATTAGCAACTTCAGCATCCAATGTGTTCCAATCCATCAAATCTGTGAATTCAAGTAGTTGGGTAAGCTGCTTTCCTTCCTTCCTGGGTATTACCCCTGCATAATAAATATCTGAAGGGTAAATTAAAGCTGTAACTTTCATCTTTGATTTCAGTGCCTTGGTAGTATAAATAACAGAACTACTAACTATGGAGGCAGGAATAGGAACCAGTCCGTCTTCATAGGCCCTGACAACATGAAAATTATTTGCAAGCTTGTGCCATCCCCATTGATCTACCCCACAAGTGATGGAAATACTGCTTCAGAAATCAGTGTATGATTTCTGTTGATTATTTTAGTTTTCAAATGAAAAGGAGTGGATGATGTTTTATAGGGATGTAAGGTTGTATGCATCCCTCTTAATCTTGGGAACTCACTAGATAGGAAATGTCATTTGCTGGGCTTCCTCTAGAGCTAATGCTGGGAGATGCTACTGCACCCTGAGTAGCCTGGTAACGTTTCTTGTCTCTTCCCATTGTCTCTATGCAAATCTAGTGCAACTGCATTAGTGCTTTAGGCATGTGAGTAAAACACTTTATAAAGTTAGGTGAGATGAATCTGGGCTTTAGTGTCTGAGAATTGGTAGAATGAACTAAACTAAATGTGTTTGAATGGAAGATGTCAATCTGTGAAATGTTTGGTAATAATCAGAAAAGTTAGTAAAATTAAAATAACTGGTATTTACAGTCTGTTCTAAAACCAGGTTGGTTCCATGAGTCAAACTAGTTTGTGTTCCTTCCTTTAGATTATTGGTGCTGAATTGGTTCTCATATTTAAAAGAATAAAAAATTTTAAAAAAATTCCTTGCACCCCCTTTTAATCCTGTTCCTATGATTAAACATGTGCTCAGAAAAAATCCCTAATGCTTATCTGGATTTTTGTATTGTCTCTTGTCTTGACTATGCTCATGTTCCTATCTTTGTCCAGCAAGAGTTCAAGCTTCTCATTGTTTTCAAAGCTTTCTACAATTCCACTTAAGCCTCTCTAGCTTTTTTCCCTAAGTTTTGCTCCCTACTTTTTGCTTACTTTTAAAGAGTAAGCTTTTACAGTTAAACATCAAACAACTTAGTGTTCATATTAATTAAATAACCCAGTAACTCAAACCTATTCATATGTAGATTATTATATCGAGCAGCTAGTTGTCTGCTATAGTTTTTTCTAAATGCCTTTCCTTTTAGCTTTAAGATATTTGTATTCCAATTGATTGCTTTTTTTTTCTCTGTTGTTCTGGTTTGGTTTGTTTTAACATCTAGCCCACAACTCTGAAGAAGACTTTACAGTGCTTAGAGGGAATACATCTCAGCCAGTCTGGGGCTGTCTTAACATTATATGTTGATAAGCTTCTGTGTACTCCATTCCGTGTGCTTGCTCGCATGGTTGACACACTGGCTTGCCGTCGGGTAGAAATGCTTTTGGCTGCAACTTTACAGGTAAAGATAAATGTATTCATTTGTAAATAAGATTGGGTAGTGCTAGTAATGTAATCAAGTGTAATGGTTACAAAAAAACCATCAAAATATGATGTTTAAGTGATTTCATTGCAAAAGAAATTTTTGTCATTTAATATATAGATACGTGAATGTTTACATTTCACTTTATCTGCCTATAATTTTCCTAATCTGTTCAAAGTACCTATAGGTATTTGACTTATTTCTGTCCTATAAAATTCTTGTGACTCTTTTCTATAGAACAGCATGACTCAGTTACCAGTTGAAGAACTGGATAGAATTCAGGAGTACCTTCAAAACAGTGGACTAGCAACAAGGTAAATAATACCAATACATGTTAAAAAGCTAAACTAAGTAATGTTCTAGTACTAATTGCGTTAACTGTTTTTTCCTATGTTTGGGGTTTTTCTTAAGATAGTGGGTCCTTTTTGGAAGTAAAACAGGAGTAAAGCCTCTCTGAGGAGATGCAGGCATATTCTGGCACAAGGACAGTCATGTTGGCCAAGTTGAATTTGCAATATACTTAAGGATTAAAGCAAGCTAAAGGCTTGAAGGCATCAAATTCTCTCTCCTGCATCCCACTCAGTATTTAACTTTTGAGAGACAGCAACTGCAAATTAATTCCTTGACAAAAACTACATTACTGAAAAGAACTTTATTTTCCTCTAACTTTTGGAGAATTTAGTGAGTCCAGGCTGGGTGGGCTGGTTGGTTTTTTTTTTTTTGTTTTGGTGGGTTTTTTTCCAAGCAACTGTGTTAAAACTTTTAACTGTTTAGACTCCCAGCTGTTTAAACTGCTGTTACAAAAAGGAGCAAATTACTCAATTTTTGAAAAAGCTTTATTTAATGTTAGTAAGAGCCTAATTTACTCCTCTTGATGTCATTGCTGTTTGAGGTTAATATCTGTTGACTGAAATAAGAAAGAAGTAGGTGGAAAGAATCTAAAGCCCAAAACTGCAGTAGATTGATAGCAATGTGTCTTCATAGGTAACGTTACATTTGAATTTTTAAAAAATTCCAGAATCTCCAAATGACTTTATACAATGTCTTGATAGCAGTAATGAAAAAAATACACCCCACCCCCCCCAAAAAACCCCAACCAAAAAAACAACAAAAAACAAACCCCAACGTAACAGAAAAAAACCCTGACACTGACATAAATCTACAAACTGGAATTCTTAATATATTTAAAAAAAAAAAAAGTTCAGTTGTAGTCGACTCTTGTTTGGTATCTGTTAGAACGTATTTGTCTGCAATCACATAATCTGTACACTAACTTTGATTCTTCTTACTCATTAAGAAGATTTACTGCTTAAAGAAAACTGAACAGCTTGCATTTTATGTACAAATGTACATGTACAAATTTTAAATCTAAACTAATTTTAAATCTTTATTGTTGATGGTGCTGAGTTCATTTGGTTTTTCTTACTGCTAGCTGGTGAAATTTGCAGGTTTGCATCATATGACTGCATATATCCAACAAAGAACTTAAGACCCTACTGCTTTTCTCTCCCAGGATTAGAATTGGCTCACTGGATGTCTTTCTATCTTTAAATGATTTACAAAACTGAGTAAGTTAACTCTCTGCTAATGTGTTCTTCAATTTTCAGACACCAAAGACTTTACTCGCTCTTGGATAGGTTTCGTCTTATGGTAGCACCGGACACAACTAGTCCTTCACCTCTGGTTACCTCACACCCACTAGATGGAGAAGACCAACCAGCTTTAGAGAATGTAATTCTAGACAAAGTAAGGTTATGTTTAGAAAGAGTCACTAAAAGTGCCTTGGCTGTAAACAAGTTATTGCTCATTACAAAATATTTAAATACAGCTTATTTTTACTATGCAGTTAATGTTCTCAGAATTGTCAATGAATCTCAAATATAGATCAGTGAATGATTTCATATGCGTTGGCTGACTGTTGAACTTACGATAAAGAATTAGCACATGCATAGATCTTTGTTATATTGACGGTGCTGTGAAAAACTATCAAGTTTTGTTTCTTCGCATAACTTTAGTGGAAAGATTTGTATAAGGTTCAGTAAAGACAAATACTTTAACTTGTTTTCTTAATGTGTTTACTGCAGTGATCAGTTTTATTCATTTGCTGAAAACTGTTGGTTGTCTCTTGGAAATTAAGCATTACTTCTCAGTTTCCACTTCTCAGCTTTAAATTACTTTCAGAGAACAATCATGACTACATAACTGTTTCTGTCTTTCATGTACTTAGATGCATTTATTTCAGAGTGGGTGGGAGGCTAAGAGCAAGCCTTTTGGGGCCTCTGTCTTTCTTTGGAGTTTGTCCCATGGCACAGATAATTTCTCCTTTTCATTCCTTTGTGTTCTACAGTGATACACAGTAATAGGAAACGTATGTAACTGAGATGGCAAAAATTATTTGATTAGCTGACAGTTTGGAGGAGACTGATAAGTAGTCGAGGAACCCATTGACTTAGGAGAGAGATTGAGAGCTACTTAGACAGCAGGAGGAAACACTCTTTGTGCCCAGAAACCATTCACCCATAGCTTTGTGTCTTCAAATTAACCAAAAAAATCTCCTTCCTCTGTAACTGTAAATCCTGCACAAAGGAAGTAGTTTTGTATGCTTCCTCCACAACTCCCACATAGTTCATAGAATCATAGACTATCTCAAGTTGGAAAGTACCCATAAGGATCATAGTGTCTAACTCCCTGCTCCTTGCAGGACTACCTAAAATTAAACCATATGACTAAGAGTGTCATCCAGATGTTCCTTGAACTCTGACAGGCTTAGTTGCATTCTAATTAATATCAGCAAATTCAGGATGTCCAGTTATGAGAGAGAAAACACAGGAAAGGGGTGACTGAACCTCTTCATATTCCTTAGTTAAATTAGTTATATTATTAACTAAAAATTATTAGCTCATCGCTAATAATTTAAGGAGTACATCTGCAGTGTTGTGTAATAGTCTTTGTTTATTTCAGTGCGTGTTAAAAGATAGATGTTATCTCTGTCTGCTGATTTATTTGAATCTGAAGAATCTTCTTCCTTGGTTACGTATTGGTTTTTGTGCTATTACTGTTATGTTTGTATGACTACTGAGTATTCCAGGCTTTTTTTCCTAGATATTCTCTTCTGCTTTAGGATCCTAATACATACGCCTTTGCTATATTTTAAGCTTCTTTTTTCCTTGTTTCCTGTGCAGACTCTATGGAAATAAACAACTTGCCAGTGGACATCCATTGGTGTCGTTTAAGATGGTTCATTCACCAGTTGTCTGTTTTGCCTTTTTTATTTTGAGTGTTTTTGACATTAATGTGGCCTAGTGATCTCTTAAACGGACCACAATTCAATGCCAATCTGCAGTTCTCCCCCTGCCCCCAGGAACTGTATTATTTTCTGAAAACAAATATGTAACAAATTTCTTTTTTTTAATTATTAAAGGACTGGTATGTGTCACTAGTGAGGTCACAGTGTTGCATCAAGTCTGACTCAGCACTGCTAGAAGGCGCAGAGCTGGTAAATAGGATTCCTCAGCCTGACCTGAACTCATTCATGACCAGCAAGGTAACTTCTTTGTTAGATGAAACACAATCAGCTGAAGAAGATGTAATTATTTCTAATATTCTTATTGGTAGTATTAATAGATTAGATTCTTAAATGTAAACACTTCAAATTTATATAATACTGGTAGTTTACTTCTTGAATTTCACTTCATTTTGGAAACTAAAATAGTAGGTGTTTCATTTCTGTGTCTAGCAATGCTGCTAATAGTAGCTTTCTAGTAGTGCAGGTTGGGTGTATAGAGTGGAAGTGAAGGTTAGTTTATGTATTGCAATCACAAAAATCCAGTTTTACCATTTTACATGAACTTCTCATTTTGCCATACAGTCTCTTACAAGGCCAGATGTTTCTGTAACCTTTTAAATATCTGTGCTAGGTGACTTGCAATATGCCACTAACAGGCCACAGACAGTAAATCTGGTACAAGGACAACTTGTATCTATTACTTTTTCTCAGAACGTATTTTGTTCAAATTCTCTACGTTACATTTGCTGCTGGTATGCAGAAATAATAGTGGGAAACTTTTAAAAAAGATTGTTTGACTTATTTGTTTGAAAACTTATTGCTTGAAGATTCCTTGTATATAGGTCATTGTTAAGCTTTATTCATATATTTTTCTGAAAATTTGGCATAAGCTTGCTGATTTTTCTTTCCAGTACAATAGTGTCTGAAATTTAAATGTGTCGTGGTTCAACAGATCATGGAACGGATATAGGTTTAATTATGGTATTGTTACACCACAATAGAGTAGAGGTCATAATAACAAGTTAGTTAATTAATAAACTGTTAATTTACCATCATATTAGTATTCCAGAATAGTACTGTCAGATACTGAGCTTCTCTTTAAAAGTAATTTCTTTACTTATTATTCACTATTTGATTTCAGGAATTCAACCTAAGCTTGTTAGCACCTTGTTTAAGCCTTGGCATGAATGAAATATCAAGAGACCAGAAGAGTAGCTTCTTTGAAACGGCTCGGAGGGTAACTCTGGATCATGTGTCTACTACTGTACAAAACCTTCCTGCCATCCACCAGATTTTTCAACCACTGTTGCCAGCTGAGCCATCAGCCTACTGGAAAAAACTAAGCGATATCTTTGGTAATAGAAATAATCGTCTTTTTAAGTTTATTCTCTCCTCTGCAAAGGTACTTTACAGATGTCTTGTGAATACATGAACTTACTGTTTTAAAAAATCAAGATACCTGGCATAAAAGTGCTTATGAAATAATTCTGAAAAACATTTATTGAGGGGGAAAAAATTCGAACTGCTAGATTTCATCCAGTCTTATTTTATAGGAGATGAGATGATGTATCAGTCTATGATGACTCTTTGTCGTGCACTGGCTCAGTATTTGTTGTTACTCTCAAAACTACCAGCTGGTCTCCGTGTTCCTCCTGACAAAGAGGATGATATCCTGAAATTCGTAGTTATGTCAGTAGAGGTAAGAAACTACAGCATAATTAAAGATGTAACGAAATGTTGGGAGAGGAAACAACTTTGACTTAAACTGATCACCATTGAGTAACTTTTGATCTGGGCAATTTTCTTGTCTTAACTGTAGAAATTTCTTCAGTGGTTATTTTATTTGACCTGTGCTAGTAAATCAGATGGGCTTATGGGACAAGGGCAGCTTTTTACAAGAAGAGGTTGGCTGAATGATGGAATCATCTTGGCATTTCGGAGAATGGCCCTGCATTGATCTTTAGGACACTGAATAAACAGTATATAATGCTCATAATTTTCTTGTACTTAAAATAAGTTCTGTTCTCTCAGGGGAAAAAAAAAAAAAAGATCAATACAACTTGCTAATAAAACTTTACATGTTGCTGAATAAAAAAAACAAACCCAAAGAACCAAAACAAAACCCACCTTTGGCTGGTTATAAGTTCTTCTGTTGCAAGAGTTTGCTATTAATGGGAAACTTTTATTTTTGCACAGGCACTATCATGGCATTTAATGCATGACCAGATTCCATTAAGTGTAGATCTTCAAGCTGCTCTGGATTGTTGCTGTCTGACATTACAGCAGCCTAGTCTCTGGAATTTGCTGGCTTCTGCAGCTAATGTGACACATGCTTGCTCCTTAATTAATTGCATTAGATTTATCATAGAAGCAGGTGAGTCCAATTTGAACATCTATGAGAAAATTTTCTTAATAGATTGTCAGTCATCACTGATCAAATGCTAGGTGTCTGGAATATTTCCTCTGAGTCCTTTTTAATTATTTCTTTGATGATAAATTTATTTTTACTACTTTAATTTCTCATTTAAGATTTTGTGTTTACTTTTGAACTTGGCAGATGCCTTGGAGATGTTAAATATTTGACCACTATGTAGTTTTGCGGAGAAAAATGGAATATGAGATGTGTAATGGCTGTATCTTTTAAATATTTTTGTGTAATTCAGTTGCTGTTGAACCTGGTAATCAACTTCTTAGTCCTGAAAGAAAGAAGAGTACTTCAAAAGGCTTGAGTGAGGTTGAAGTTGATTCAAACACACAGAGTAAGTAAACGGTGAATTCCACTTATGCCTTATACTTTCACTGAAGAAATATTTGTAGGTACCCTTTCCATTACTATTTTTTTACCAATGAGAGTTCCTCTGAGACCTTATTTGTATTTGAACGTTTATTAAATATAGGTTGACGTTTTTGACAGGTATAGTTGTGGTGTTTTTTTTCTTGTAAGTTAAACATTAATGCAGATTTTTCTTTTGGGGTATTCTGTTAGCTGTGCAGCATGCTGCAGACTGAGCTTTTTAGTGTTGTGGGATTTTTAAATTTCATGTGGGAGAGGTAGAATTGTTTATATTTCTTCTGAAGAATGGCAGATTCATTATCTGCCCTCCTACAGTATAGGACCACTACGTTGAAGTGAAAGTCAAGTGTAGTCCTTGAGCATGGACAGCATTGTCTTCCATAGTCAGCTGTGCTCGTACAGTAAGGTACCACTTCCATCTACAGAAATTACCTTCTTGTCAGATTTAGCATAGAGCCAGCTATGAGACTGTTTTCTCATGAAACAGATTAATTGGGTCACTTTAAATTCTCACAAATGCTCTATTCAGTGTGGCCCGTTCTTGCTGGGGTTAGCAAGTGAGCTGCTCTGCTGACAGGTACTGGTAATCTCTAGCACCGAGATTGGCAAACAATGCAAGCCATTGCAGGGAGGGTGGTAGTAGTAATCTTCAACTAGCTGAAATGTTGTTGTAGAATTTTTCTTTGTATATATCCTTATTGTGGTTTTGTCCTTTTTAGTCAACGTACTCTTTCATTAACCATTTGTTGTTTTTCTGTATCTTTTTAAATCATGTGTCTTTTGAATAGATTTCATAAAACTGAATTTCTTTTTCTCCCAACAAAGAAACTAAACACATTACTGCAGCTTGTGAAATGGTAGCTGAGATGGTGGAATGCTTACAGACTGTCTTGGCACTGGGGCACAAAAGAAACAGCAGTATCCCAGCATTTCTTACTCCTGTCCTCAAGAACATCATCATCAGTTTAGCAAGGCTGCCTCTAGTGAACAGTTACACAAGAGTACCTCCCTTGGTATGTTCTTTATGCTTTGTTTTCAGGACTTTAAAAGCTATTGAACAACTTTTTGAAAACCAATATGGTGCTGCATCTTAAGTTATATGTCAGTAAGACTGCAACCTTTAGCTAATTTGGTCAGTCAGTTTGTCTCTTTAAATACTGAGTAGCAAAACATTGTAAAGATACAAAATAAGAGTTCACTTTGGAATCAGAGATTTGATTAGAAAGGAGTGTAGTTGCTCCTTACATTCGTATGTGAAGGAATGTCCAGGTTGTAGTTTAAGAAAGGAAAAGCAAGCAGTGACTTCAGTGCTTTGTTAGGGCTAATATCTCCTCCTCCTCAGTGGCATTGCTTAACCTGGAAAGAGTGCAGAATCTACACTGCTACTTTCTCTATGACACCTGAATTGATAAATTCAGTTTTTGTCATGCTAAGCACCACAACAATACAATGGTGCTGACGTGTCTGAAGTAGTGTCTGAACTAACTCGGGTATTTGTGTGTGGTACCATACTAGGGTATGCCATGCAGATACTTTTGGATTAGGTATTATCATTCTTTCCTAACTCATCCTGGATATTTTGGACAAGGTATTTCAACCTTTTCTTTTTGGCCGATGTAACATGGATTTAAGAACACCTCATTATTACCTCCATGTATTGTTAGTACTATGAAATGGCTTTGTTTTGCAAACTTCAAAACCATTATTGGAAACATTTCCAGATGCTTATTAGGTAGAGCAAAAGGGGGTTTCCTGATATGTGCAAGGCCATTTCTGTGGCCTTTCTCTGTTTTCTCAGCACTCTGGTTTTGAGGGGATGTCAAAAGATACTAATTTTTTTGATTGAGACTTTTTTGCCCACTCTCAGATATATCTTCGTGCTTTTTCAGGCATCAATAGTATGTGAACTATTTTCCCTGAATTACTTTTCAGCATCATTTCTGCACAATCTAGGAGTCACCTAGCACTTAAATACTAAACGGAAAAAAATGACAGGAACTTGCTTTTATATCCAAACTTGGACAATGGGACTAAATAATTAATTCATAATGAGAAATGTGCAAAAAAACCCTGCCAAATTAGAAATACAGTGTAAAATGTGTATTAGCTGTGTTAAATATTTATCTTTCTCTAAGTTTTTTTTGTATGTGGGAGAATCACTTTATTTACTGATGTCTCATTGCTTTTGAATGGTACATATATATTTATAGCTGTCATATTAATATTATTTCTGTTTTGGATAAGTAGACTTCCTTTACATTTCTTCAGGTCTGGAAATTAGGGTGGTCACCAAAGCCTGCAGGTGACTTTGGCACAATTTTTCCTGAAATCCCAGTAGAATTTCTTCAAGAAAAAGAAATCTTTAAGGAGTTCATCTATCGCATTAATACACTTGGTATGTACAAAATTAAAAACTAATACAGTTGGCTCTTATTAGGCATTTACCTGTGTTGTGAGGTTACTGAATAACTTGAATCTGGTACTACTTGTTTACTTTTGTTGCTTATGTGGAAGAGAGATAGTATTTCAGAGTGGGTTAGTAACTGTGCTGGAATAATTCTTACATTTTGCTCAATGCAGAGAAAAAGTTATAAACTATAGAACTAAAGCCAAAAGCTATTCCAACTCAGGGAGGTGATTTCAGTGTGGTCTCATAGAATGGCCCCTTGTTTTCTGGAGCATACACTTGACAGTATGTTTGAGAATATTTTGCTCCCCCCCCCCTTTTTTTTTATTCATGCATAGTATATAAATGGAGTTTAGTGCCAGACTCACAATATTTTAAATGCGATGCTGTCACTTTAAAGCTTCAGGATATGTTAAGGTTTACTGAACAAGAGCACTGGGGCTTAAGAGTTCAAGTCTTTGTCAACAGATGAGACTGTCAAGGGTAATGCATCAAATGTTCCATATGCTTATGGAAGTTTTTTGGTTTTTTCCCCCCTGTCTGATCTATGGGTTAATATTTGACTGACTCATGGTGTAGCACCGATTTCTGTTTGATCACTCTAACGCCTAGAGATGACATTCTCATTTTTTATTCTTTAGATATCATTAGTATAAACTGCAAGGTGTTATTCAGGAATCCTCTGCAGTCGTTTATAGGTAAAAATCTGTTTGGAAAAACTTTTTGAGAAGTGCTTCAATTTTAATGACCTATTTCTAGGAAATTCAGTCATTTTGTTTTTAGGGCATGAAGTTTTCTTGGATCGTTATGGGATTCTCCACAACTTACTTTCCCGTGACAATTGGCCAGTTTTCTGGATGATTTTCTGTGTTGTGAAAACCTGATAGATCTCAATACTTTGAAAGTTGGACAATCAAAGTATTTAAATGTATACAAGAAACAAACTGAACAGGACCATTTAAATAATAATGTGCAGAACCCTTCTACATGGCTCATCACTTCCTAAAATAGAACAGTTTAAATTTAAGCTGTAGTGATTACAGCAAATGCCAAATCAAATAAGAAATGGTCTGAAACTAAATCTATGGAAACGATGTACCATTTTTTAATGCCTTTTCATGCTTAAGTTTGTGTTAAGACATAAATGGCTATCTCTGAGTGTTTCCGTAGGATGGATCAGCCGTACTCAGTTTGAAGAGACTTGGGCTACTTTGCTTGGTGTGCTTGTAACTCAGCCTATTGTAATGGACCAGGAGGAGAACCAACAAGAAGTAATGTCATTCACTGATATTTTTTTTTTAAATTAAATTTTACTTATTAATAGAAACGTTTTTCTTAGTTTAAACCTGTAAAGCACAAATAGTGGATCCTGGGTAGCAAAGGGGTTTGTTTTCCTTGCTTCCTAGGTGTCAGACTCCAAAATGGAGTAAGACATCATCATACCTCTTCCATGGGTTAGCATTTTCTGTTAGACAGACTTGAACACTTGTTTTGCGGCCTCTAGAATTTTTGACTTAACTCTTTTCCATATAATGGTCATGTTGGATCGTACTTAAGGCGACCTAGCTATTGGTAGTTCCTTATCTGTCATGTAGAGAGTGTTTATTTGTAGAACAGGAGTAATACTGCTCCTTTACTTACCAAGGAAGACTAATATGTTCAAAATTGTAAACGTTTTAAGCACTATTATAAAGATCAGTATGTTAATATTTTCTGAAATAAAAATACAAGATTCTTTTTTTAAAAAAATAATTGAAAATTTGTTACCATCTTATATTCTCTAAAAAAGTTCAGACTCTCTTCTGGTCTGATACTTCCAAGAAGGAATCAGAATGTATACTATGAAAGCAAAAAATGAAAAGCATCCTGCCACTTCAGAATCTACAAGTGTTTGTGCTGTTGTTCTAATTTTAGTCTCTAAAAAACCTGGTTTAGTCAAAGTACTGATGATAAACAGTTCTGAGCAAAAAAATTAAAAGTACTGCAAAGATTCTTGCTACCATCAGTACAGGGAGAGTGAGTTACAACCCACAGCCCCAGAAGTTTATTTTAAGAGGTTTGGGTTTTTTTTAAAGGAGAAAGAAACAGACTACTACAGTGGTGATGATTTACAGTGGCAAAGTAGTTGATGCAATGTGTGTAGTTCCAAATACTTCTATTGGGGAAAAATGACAGTGCCTCAAGAATGAATAATGGATTGAATCTAACCCAATATTTTAAGAAAGTTGTGTTACAGTTTTCTCACACTTTTACAGTGGTGCTAAATACTGAATATGTAGCATCTTGGTTTAGAAGAAACATTGGAGGCACCTGGATAATGATCCCCAGAAAAATGCTGCTGAAAATTCATTATGAGGTTGAGTTTTGTTCCTAAACAGGGAGTTACTAAAAACAGTTAACATGGATCCTTCTCTGAAGAGTTTCCAACTTAGATTTGGTCTTATTTGATGCTTTGTTTTAACAGGTAACTAACAGGTAGATGCAGAAAAAAGAAACTAAGCACTTCGAAAGTTCCAAAATGGACATATTGAGGTTGTAATGCTGTTGAGATAAGAGAGGATGCATGCGGAATGGCTGATGAGAGAGAAGGATGTGTTGCTGCTACAGCCACAGTGCTCTGTGTGTATTGTTTATGTCAGCTAGATTTCTGGATGGGAAGAATTCTAGATGTCAGTCTTACTAATGATAACTTAGTGGAAGGTGACAAACTGATTATCAGGATTTTTTTTTTTTTTTACAATTCAAATTACAGTAAGTTCATTTTACAGGAAGATACAGAGAGGACACAAATTAATGTTCTTGCAGTACAAGCCATAACTTCCTTGGTGCTGAGTGCAATGACAATACCTGTTGCAGGCAATCCAGCAGTTAGCTGTTTGGAACAGCAGCCCCGCAACAAAGCTTTAAAAGCTCTGGACACAAGGTATTTTTTTACTTGTTTTAAAATGCCGAAAAGTTATACTTTTATATAAATATATTATATATATATAAAAATATATAATATATATACTTTTATATAAATAATTACAATTGCTTAATCTAGCTGTAGCAAAAATATGTATAGACTGTATTTTCTAAGCAAGAGCATATACAGATGGATCTGTTTACATAGAAGTTAGGTGGACTTAGCATCATGAACCTGCTGAGTTAAAAGACAGTACCTGAAAAAGACAATGTCTTATTAAAATCTAGTAAACAGTGTGCAGAATGTATTTGTCAACATTTCTCAGTTTTAGCATCCCTGATAATGAAAATAAGCATAGACACATAAAATTGTAGAGTAAGCTAGTAAGACTTGCACAAAAAAGTTAAAGGGAAAATATGCTTAAATTGATTTCTGTTGCTTTCAGGTTTGGGAGGAAGCTAAGTGTTATCAGGGGAATTGTTGAACAGGAAATCCAAGCAATGGTATCTAAGAGAGATAATATTGCTACTCATCACTTATACCAAGCCTGGGACCCTGTTCCATCACTTTCTCCTGCTACTACAGGTAAGTGCCTGTGTGTGTGGAGGAAGGGGAGAGTGAATTTCTTTTAAATGTAAAAAAGTAGAAAAGATATTCTTACAAATTCATTTAAAATCCAGTTTGCAGGAAGTGAAGCCATTTTCACATCTACTTTGTCATGCATGTTTTAAAAATTTGTTTTCTATTTTGTTATAGGTGCTCTTATCAGCCATGAAAAACTCTTACTGCAGATCAATACTGAACGAGAAATAGGAGATATGGATTATAAACTGGGACAGGTTTGTTAAAACCTTAGCTTTGAACTTGACTTTTGTTATGTTTCTTCTAGTTTGTGAAAATTCGGTTGAGACACTGCTTAACATCAAATGTAAACTAAAAGCTCTGAGTGATGCAGGGTAGATCATAACTGGGTGACTCCTCTCAGCCAGCTGACCCCATGTCTCGTGGAATTTTTGGTTTTGTGAGGTCTATCCATGAGCCAGCTATTGAGTTGTGCTTTTCAGCCTTGTGTGTTAAAGAGCTCTTGTAGTGTTGGCTTCCACTTTAACTATTGGATTTTAATTTGCTATTGCATGCTCATGGTAGTCCTTAGGAAATGAAAAATCACTGCACATAAAATAAGCAATGTTGGTTTAATTTTAAATAAACCAGCTCAGGGACATAAATTTCACTGGAAAATTAGCACTACATACAGTGAATAAAAAAATAGTCCTTATCCAGTTATTTATCTCCTTAAAAAAATTAGTCTTTATGTAAAGTTACATATAAGTTTTAAATGTAGTACTTGTTTCACTATTTGAATGGTATGTAGTAGTGAAAAAAACTTAAATACTAAACTCAGATGACATTATTTTTCTTGAGGAATCTTTTGTGTAGGGAAGACTAAATGATCATTTTTCTGTCTCTAGGCATCTATATGTTCTCTTGAGATCCTAAATGGCTTGAATATTCAGTATTTGCAGGTCTACAGACCCTATGTGTTATTTCCAAAAACTGTTAACTCTATAACAATACTAGGCATTAGACAATTTATTAGAAAAATAAATAAAAGTGTGTATATTTTTGCTTAACATGAAAAAGAATTCTATGTAAGGATGAATTTTTGTCTAAGAAAGAAGTCTTGAAACACAGGAAGTGCCGATTTTGTTTTGGCATCTTCAGACAGATCATTTATGAAATGCCATCAGCAGGTCTGATTGTTCTGAAACTTTAATTTTATAAGTAAAACTCAAAAAAGAACTGATACGTTTTCTTCTTTGTAGATAATTGTTTATCTAGCCTGAGTCAGAAGACTTGAAATCTTAGTCTTGTCTGGTTTCAGAAGAAAGGTTATATTGCAATCAGACATACTGAGTTATGGTTTGAGTAGAGTTAGGAATGTGTTTTCTATTGAACTGCAGTTGTTAGAGGTCTTTCTGAATTATTTGCTTGGTTGATATGAATTGTAAATATTTATACTTTGCTTTAGATTTTAGATCTAGTATGTTGACTTTGGGATGATGCATGTACATTGTTAATGCATGCTTACAGGTTAGCCAGATGCTGCTTTCAGCATCACCTGTTTTGCTGTACTAAGGGCATGGTGCTACTGGTTTTGCTGTGCCATACAGTTTAAAGTGAGTTAAACTAAAGTCTTAAAAAAGGTTTAAAAAAATTGATAATTTTAAGTCATGTGCAGTTCATGTAAATGTTACTTCACGCTGTGTATTGGGATTCTAAGATTTTTCTAATCTGGCTATGAGAGTGTTAAAAGTTGTGCTGCTTTTCTGTTATTTTGTGTTGCAAGGTCTCTATACACTCCATATGGTTAGGAAATAATATCACTCCATTGAGAGAAGAAGAGTGGGGTGAGGATGAAGAAGATGAGAACGACGTACTTGCTCCTTCCTCACCACCAACCTCTCCTATTAATACCAGGTGTCTGATTTTTTTCTTGTATCTCCTTTGACTTTATTAATAAGCTCTTACCTCTTCATGTTGTTTAATAAGCTGGGTTTATAAACTGGATGCTAGTAAATAACTGTATTTCAAATCAGGTATTTGAGCAGGGCTTAAGAATAGCCATTTTAACACTTAAATATTGTGCCTTGCAGGAAGCACCGGGCTGGTGTGGATATACATTCTTGTTCTCAGTTCTTGCTTGAACTGTATAGTCAGTGGATATTGCCATCAAACCCTAGCAAGAGAACGCCAGTCATTTTGATTAGCGAAGTGGTGCGATCAGTAAGTCTAAACTATTATTCAGTCATAATTGAGCACATGTTACCAAATATTCAGAGCTAAGCGGCATTTGTAAAGCATCTTTTCATATATGGGAAACACTGATTTTTTTTTTTCATGGCAGTGCTATTATATGGGCAGTACAGAAATATAACTTGAGCATCTATAACATCATACTGATTTAAACTATATAAGCAGCTGGATTGTGTATTCTGCTACTGTATTACAAACACTTCATTGTTACTTAATGATAGTATTTTACTTGACTACTTGCTAAAAGTAGGTTTCAGGATTTTGCTTATCCTATCTCTTTGTAAGAATATGAAGATGGAACAACAATGTATTAGAGGATTAAATTGGCTATTGAAGTGTAGAAGCAAAACTAAAGAACACAGTTGTGCAATGTGTCTTGATAGCCTATCAGAAAAGACTTAAAATGAAACCATCCTTGCAAGAGAGTATGTATTGTGTGTTTGGGGTGTTTTAGTACATTGTAAATGGCAATGTTCGTTCATTTTCTACAATTACTTACTATAGTGGATTTGGGTTTGTAAACCTTATCGAAAAAAAGACCATTTGGAGGTAATTGTTATCTGAGACGTACGGTGGAATTAATTCTGGATGACAATAGTTATTCCAGATACTTGAGTTAATGTTTACACATTTAATAGATCGATCCAGGAAATCTCTTGCTGACAATTATAACAGAAGGGAGAGTCAATTTTTGGCTGTCTGCTAATGGGCTTTTTTATATGAAATTTTAATTTGTGTACAGCTTCTGGCAGTGTCAGACTTATTTACAGAAAGGAATCAGTTTGAGATGATGTATACAACGTTGACAGAATTGCGAAAGGTGCATCCTTCAGAAGATGAGATTCTTGTACAGTATTTGATACCAGCCACTTGTAAAGCTGCAGCTGTTCTGGGAATGGTAAGAAATTCTTATGGAAGTTTATTGCAAATTCATGAGTGTCTAGGTTAACTCATCCTTAGCTTCTGCTGTAAAACCTGATGTACTTGGTAAGAGTAGCTTGTCTAAGAAAATCCTTTAGCTGATATGCATGGCTATAAAAAGTAATAGGATATGCATTCTGGACTTTCAGAGGTTGCAAATACTACCTCCAGTGGCGCCGTATTCAAACAGAAAGGTTTGGTTTAGGGTTGTTCTGAGGCTTGAGCTTAATTCAATGTGCTTTTTGGTTTATCTTACTCAGCTGAGTGTTACCTTTGCCCTGGACTCATTTGTTACATTTCAGGCCAGAAATGAGGACTGTGGAACAGCTATTGCTAGATTTGTGTTACAGGTGAATGGCTGTAATCCCATGAGAGGACGGGACAGTGATTGTGATGAATACATAGCTTGATAGTCAGGTATCCCTTTTCTTTCCCTCAATCTTCCCTCCACTGCATCATTCTGCATGTAGGGAAAGAACATTATTAATTCAAGTTAAGTGAAATGTGTTGCTGTCTTTAAATCTGTAGACCAGAGACCAGTAGTATTTTCCAATGGACGTTTCAGAGTGGGATTGTTTAGGAAAAAAATTACAAATTCTTTTGGAAGAAGTTAGCATTTCTAGAAGCTCTCTATGAGAGTAATATAAAACTATATGGGTAATAGTGATAAGAAAAGTTTTGAAAGACTTTTGGGGTAGGGCTTCCAGTAGCCATTGTAGCAGCAACTGTGCAAGGGAAGGCTGTGAAAGTGATGCCAAACATGCAGAAGCAGTTTTAGAGATCAGCTTGTTCTGTCTAGGCTGTAAGTTCCCACTCAGTGAACTAATAACACTTTCTCACAAGCAAACTGCTGAATATAACAGGTTAGTGGGAGGGGAAAAAAAAAGTTGGTTGCATCAAGAGTTGCTTGTTGTCCTGTGCTCAGTTATGTAGAAAGATACGCTTAAAAAGAGCAACTAGAGAGCACACACTATAAAACTGGCTTGTATGTTAGATACTTCATGAATACAGAGACAAGGTAAAACAAATAATTTCTAATAAATGCTTAAAATAGATTGTAAGAAAAAGACTTTTAAAATCTCACACTTTAGAATAGATTTTGCATATTCGAAGAAGTTGTTGTATTTTGGTAACAGGGAGTGAAATATCTGATACCAGCTTGATGTTTGAAGGCTAAACATAGAACTGTAGAATCATTTAGGTTGGAAAAGACCCTTAAGATCATTGAGTCCAACCATAAACCTAGTACTGCCAAGCCCACCACTAAACCATGTCCCTAAGCACCACATCTATATGTCTTTTAAATACCTCCAGGGATGGTGACTCAACCACTTCCCTGGGCAGCCTGTTCCAATGCCTGGCAACCCTTTCAGTAAAGAATTTTTTCCTAATATCCAAACTAGATCTCCCTTGCCGCAACTTGAGGCCATTTCCTCTTGTCCTATCTCCAGCCACCTGACAGAAGAGACCAACACCCACCTCACTACAACCCCCCTTCAGGTAGTTGTAGAGAGCGATAAGGTCTCCCCTCAGCCTCCTCTTCTCCAGGCTAAACAACCCCAGTTCCCTCAGCCGCTCCTCATAGGACTTGTGCTCCAGGCCCCTCACCAGCTTGGTTGCCCTTCTCTGGACACGCTCCAGCACCTCCATGTCTTTCCTGTAGTGAGGGGCCCAAAACTGAACACAGGACTCGAGGTGCGGCCTCACCAGTGCCCAGTACAGGGGAACCATCACCTCCCTGCTCCTGCTGGCCACACTATTTCTGACACAAGCCAGGATGCCATTGGCCTTCTTGGCCACCTGGGCACACTGCTGGCTCATATTCAGCCGGCTGTCAACCAGCACCCCCAGGCCTTTCTCTGCTGGGCAGCTTTCCAGCCACTCTTCCCCAAGCCTGTAGCGCTGCATGGGGTTGCCGTGACCAAAGTGCAGGACCCGGCACTTGGCCTTGTTGAACTTCACACAATTGGCCTCGGCCCGTCGATCCAGCCTGTCCAGATCCCTCTGTAGAGACTTCCTACCCTCAAGCAGATCGACCTTCCCTCCCAACTTGGTGTCATCTGCAAACTTGCTGAGGGTGCACTCGATCCCCTTGTCCAGATCATTGGAGTGGTGGAGAGAAAGATATGCGTAGGTCTCAGTGCCAGTGGTCTTGGAGAACAAACAAATGGAACGCTGTACTATGAGTTGAGTGGATGGCAGAGTATTCTTTTGGATGCAGACTACAGGCACCTACCAGTCAGTTTCAGACAGAAGCATCCTTTGTGGTTAGCTGGAAGGCCAGAAAATTCCAACCATATATGTCGTATATGTAGAGGATTCTTAATAGCATGTATTATTTACTGAACTAATGCTTATCTTGGTTTTTTTGGCTTTAAATCTTTAGATAACTTTTTACAGGTGAAACAAAGTAGTGTCAGTTTACTAGTTAATCTGTAAGTCATGTCTTATCTGATTATATTAATCTTGTGACATTTGATTCAAAGTACTTTTAATCCAGGCTCTGATTCATGCCATATTTTCTGCTCTTTAATTTGTTCCAAGTATTTCCAAATGGCAGGAGTCACTGGTAGTGAACCAGTGTTGACTTCTAATGAATACTCTTGTTGGATGTATTAGGATAAAGCTGTGGCTGAACCAGTAAGTCGACTGCTGGAATCAACCCTAAGAAGCACCCATATGCCAAGTCGGATTGGAGCTCTGCATGGAATTCTTTATATCCTTGAGTGTGACTTGCTTGATGAGACAGCAAAGCAACTCATTCCAATTATCAGCGAGTATCTGCTTTCCAATTTGAGAGGAGTAGCACAGTAAGACTCTTCCTTTCCTTCCTCCCCCCCTCCCGCAACTGTTGCATGCTTATGTGTGAACAAAAGGGCTCTTTATGGTTTGTGGTTGTCAGTACATTTTAGAGAAGGCTGTTGTATCAAGCAGGTTTTGGCATTTTTATTGAAAATATCAGCCAATTTTAGATTTGATTTACAGAAGTGAAAGGATTATTTGAGGGTGAGAAAACTTTGATAGCTCAGACTTTTGTCTCTGGTAAATTGTGTTCCCTAAACCTTATTTTTCTGTCATAAGGCATACTCTTTGAAGAAGACTTGCAGGATCAGTAACGAAGCTTATTTCTCCTAAACAAGTCAGGCAATGATAGTTTGTAATTATACTGCTGAAAAATTTCTTGCGTTGCACTGGATTTCCATGATAAGCAGTGCTCTTATGGCATCTTGGTGATACTCTGTGTGACCTTAAAGATCACATAGATTTCATGTGAAAAAATACTTAGTGTTTCTAAGGATTGTTTATATTGTCTCTATTTGTGACCCAGACAACTTTGATGCAAGTGACCACTAGTGTCTTTGCTTATTTACAGTTGTGTGAATATCCATAACCAACAGCACATCTTGGTAATGTGTGCAGCTGCTTTCTATTTGATCGAGAATTACCCACTTGATGTAGGGCCTGAATTCTCTGCAGGAATTATACAGGTATGTTGTGATGCCTCCAGTCAAAGGTGGTCATGTAACCTGGGATCACCACATAGCTATCTTTAACACTTAACTTGATTATTCTGGTGTAGGTATGCTTTTGGGTTTAGTTTCATCAGGTTTTCGTAATACCTGATGCAGTTCCATACTAGCTGCAGTGGTATGGTGCTAGAAGATGACCTAAATACACCTCAGAACCAGGTAGTTGGCTTTTTTATTTATTTCAGATGTGTGGAGTCATGGTGTCTGGAACTGATGAATCAACGCCATCCATTATTTATCATTGTGTCCTGAGAGGTTTAGAGCGACTCCTCCTTTCAGAGCAACTTTCTAGGCTGGATAGTGAATCGCTAGTGAAACTGAGTGTTGACAGAGTGAATGTGCAGAGCCCCCACAGAGCAATGGCGGCACTCGGATTAATGCTGACTTGCATGTACACAGGTATTTACTTTTTTTATACCTTTGTACTGAGAAATTAGCTTACTAACAGGGCTAATTTTCTTCATTTATTTTTGTTGCCAATGATAAAAAGGTTTTATTTTAGCAATCACAGTAAACTTGTAACAAATTATTTTGGTTTAGGAAAGGAAAAAATCAGCCCCAGTCGTGCCACAGATGCAAATCCTGCTGCTCCTGACAGTGAATCTGTGATCGTAGCGATGGAACGAGTATCAGTCCTTTTTGATAGGTAAGAGGATAAAACGCGTAATGGGACACTGTGAGGGAAATTATTCTGTTTGACACTGTGTGGTCACTGCTCTATTTGATAGTTCTAATATTAAATTAACGATGTTTCTCTGCTTACCATTGCTTAAAATTGATGCTTCTACTATACACAGTAACACTGATGGAATTGCTGAAGGCAGCAGAAATGTACAGGAATGTAAATGGAAAACAGACATGTCCTAACTGATACTGTGTGTTGCACCAACCATAATACTTTATAAATGTATTTCCATCTCCCTTCAGGTCAAACTCTTAAGTGCTTTTCAGGATGTCTTCTGCATAATCGAGGATATAAATCCAGTTTACGGGAAATAATCTTTCAAACCACCCTAAGAGTTTAAAACTTTTTTCCCCTTCCCCCACCCAAGTGTTGCTCTTTCCAAGGCTGTTAAGTAATTGCAGTGGAAGGGTACACTAAAACTTCTGTATTCACATGGAATTCATTTAATGAAAACATATCAAAATCCCTGTTTTGATCTTACAGTCTCAAGCTGTCTTAAGTGAGCATAGCATGTTAGATTTTGCACACTAGTTTGTGGGGTAATGGTTTACATTTTTTAAAGTGTTCAGTGGTTTTTCCATAAAACTGGATGAGGGTTTCACTTCTGCGCTCTGTAAGAACAGAACTAGAGCAGTGCTTGAGTGCATTTGAAAATATCACTCCTAGGGGTTAGCAAAACAAATGTGAATACTACAAGCAGAAAATAACTTTTGCACGGAGTAATCACACGATGGTAACTTGATCTTGACCCATCAACAGATGCAGCCTTTATTAGACAGATTTTGCAATTCGTGTTATTTCTTTAAGTCAGAGTATCTTTTCCCCTCTTTACAGTGCAGCACAACTTGCTTTTCCTGTTTGATATATTCGTCATCCTGGTCTTGAATAAAAAATGCAAAGATGTTATGAATGGACATGAGTGTTCTACTTATAAACGGTCTTTGATAACTAGGAGTAGTGATCTCCCTGTCCTTTTTGTTCTTGTTTAGTTTTTTTGGCATGCTATTATTAAATCTTGTCTCTGATGCAATTCCAGAGTTTCAAAAAAATGTTGACTATTTTAAATAAAAAAAGGGGGGGTGGAAGAGGGCACAACACCTGTAACAACTTCTGATAGCTTTGATAGACCTCTTTGGGTAGACTGTTAGTCAGATTACATGAAGACTTAGATTCCTCAGTATTGAAGACTTCTTTGCCTATCTAGATGTGAAAGTAAAACATTCTTTCTATTGCCAGTTACACTGGAAAAGAACAAGATATTTACTGGAATGCAATGATAAAATATCTCTTTTTTTATTATTTTCAGGATCAGGAAGGGATTTCCTTTTGAAGCTAGAGTAGTGGCTCGGATCCTCCCACAGTTCCTTGATGATTTTTTCCCCCCACAAGACGTAATGAATAAAGTTATTGGAGAATTTTTATCCAATCAACAGCCTTACCCACAATTCATGGCAACAGTAGTTTATAAGGTAGTGTTTATTTTTTTTTTCTGAAATGTTTCAGAAGATTTCTAAGTAACTGACAGCTTGCTCAGAGGGGCAAATATCAATTTTGTTAGATCTAACAAACTAGTTGCAGTGATTGAGCTGTACTGCTGTGACCTTTGTCTTCCGGGCAACATAGAGGGCTAGAATCACCATGTTGCCCAGAAGGCAAAGCTCACAAGAGTATAGTTCAATCGCTGATAATGGGAAAATAAACAGAAAATTAATAGTTGTGATCGTGGTGCTCAGACTGTCTAGATCTCAAGGAGCCAGCCCAGGTCATCTGTCCTTGTGAACTCTACAGTCAAGCCCCTGTGGACTCAGTTGGGCTTCTGGGTATTTTGCTGTTCAGCACCTACTTATTGGACTCATGCATGACCTGAGAGTGCATATGCACACCGCGTTTGATCTATAAAAATATAGATGCCAGACAAGTCTTGCATTTCTGTACGCTTACTTCAGTTTGGCACAGATGTCATGAGTCCGCTTGGATCCTGGCTGACACTTTTGCAGAATCTCTTTGTCTAGGCATTGCGTTCATTGATTTTTTTAGACTCAGAGTTGTCTCCAGGAATCCAGTTTGTGAACCTCAGAGTTTTGTAGCTGGAGAGAACTTTTACAAGAGAGGCTAAACTCTTTCCCATGTCTATGTACCATGTCTTTATTTCTGTGTAAAATATTTTTGCAGGTATTCCAGACACTACATAGCACTGGACAGTCCTCAATGGTCCGTGACTGGGTGATGCTCTCTCTCTCTAATTTCACACAAAGAACACCTGTGGCAATGGCAATGTGGAGTCTTTCCTGTTTTTTTGTCAGTGCTTCCACCAGTCAATGGATTTCAGCAATGTATCCTAAAGACTGAATGTGTGCCATTTCTGGGTAAATATAGTGATTCTGTAAAGCACATTGATAGTCTTGAAGGATAAGAGTACAAGTTTAACACACAAGAAAAGGCAGATTACTGCAGTTAATAGTGGTGTATACCACTTTGTGCTATTGGTGCCTCAGGTTTGAGGGGAAAAAAGAGAATTTCTAAACAGATCATGAGAATGAAGTTATCTAAAACTACTGTTTTAAGATCAGTGCCTTGTGACTATGCAAGATGATTGGGAAAGTACTTGCTTTGAAGGACTTTTTAAAAGCTTCACCAGATAGCTTTGCAGTGACCTTTAAAAGCTTTGTTCTATATTCCTTCTGCAAGATAAAATATATTAAAAAAACCCCAACCAACAAACCACACAACAAACTATAATTAAAGAAATTATCCTTTACAAACTATTTTCCAAGTGTCCCACTGGAGGTGCACTGCAGCAATAGTGAGCTTTGGCGATGGAATGACATCAGCCAAATAAATTGGAACAGCCAAAAGACATAGGTGGTATCAGTGCTGGATTTATTGAAAAAACAAACAAACACGCACCTCAAACAATCAGAAAAATAACTGTTGCCTTTCATGACCAGGCAAAAAAGTGGCCATATGTCAAGTTTGAAACTTCCTAATGACTCTTAATCTCAGCAATGCTCTTTGGCTATCAGCAGTTGCGACTGTGGTGCTGATTGCACTGTTTGCTCCAGTGGATAAAGAAAACTACCACTAGATTAAAATTAATTTCTGGGATAAGAAACTGCATGAAGTTAATGAAGAAATAGAATTTCTGTAGTAGCAGTTTAATTGCTGTGTGACAGTATTTTGCACCTTACCATTATTGGTGAGCTCAAAAATACATCATTTTATTGGAGAATAGCGTTTAAACTGTGTTACCAAAAGATGAGCAACTTCTGTCATATTATGACCTTAACTTATATTTCAGTCTTCCACATATTATCAGCAGAATGGGAAAATCGGAGCAAGTGGATGTTAACATCTTCTGTTTGGTGGCCATAGACTTCTACCGACATCAGATAGATGAAGAATTAGATCGGAGGGCCTTTCAGTCGGTGTTCGAGGTGGTAGCATCTCCAGGAACCCCGTATCATCGCTTACTAACTTGTTTGCAAAATGTCCACAAGGTCACAGCATGTTGAACATCCTGATGTGTAATGGAACTGCATGACTAGTGTTGGAATCTGATATGAATTATGGGGAATGCAAGATGAAGAAAGTATCTGGGGTTGCATTTGTGATAAATATGGACCTGTCAGTTTTACTTCCAGAATGCATGGACAAGTGCTCTGCAGCACTGGAAATCACCCGAAAAGTCTAGTGTAGTTCTTGTTGTTGTTGACACCAGATACGTGTGAGTGGAAAGAAATATGTCAGTGTTTTTCAAGTGGTTTTTGGGAGTAACCTGAGACACGTTTAGTAACTGTAAAATACGAGCAAGTGCTACATGCAGGGTAACTGGTATTACTCTTCTTCCTAATGTTCAGCTGAAGCCACTGTGGTGCAGCTGGTAAGAAACTGACAGAAAGACTGTTATTGCAAGCTGCAGTCATTAGAAAACTTCATAGTTTTATGTACCTGTATATACTGTTGTGTAGTACAGAATAGAAATTGTTTCCTTACGTCTCTCCCAAACAAGGATAAGAGAAAATGGCTTTCATGATTTACACTTCCAGCATGTAATTCCTCTCTCTGGACTTTCTGATATCGCGTGGTGTATGTGTTGGTGATATCGGAGATATAGTGCACATACGTAACCACACATTTTTCTTTTTTCTTCTCAGGATTTAAAATTCAAGTACAGTATATCAGTAAAAGAAATTTTAACTTAAATATTTCTATATCATGTACAGTATGTAAAATTGTAAGATGTGTGGTGCATGAGCTGTGCTGTAATTTGAGATGAACAGAAGCCACGCTACTGAATGTCTTGACATCTGTATTGTCCTCTTTTTTTTTTTTTTCCTTGTGCTTGAATTCATGTTCCTTTTGGAAACCCATCTTAATGTACATCTTGTTTTGCATCTCACTTTTTCTTAAAGTGCTTTAAAACTGGAATACATTGATTAATTTGTCTTGAGAGACTGTACTAAGGAGGCATTCTTGTGACCCACTTTACTGTAGCTTCTTTAGAATTCCTTTATTTTGAGACTTAATGGTAAAAGAGAGGACTAGTTACTCTGGATCAGCCTTTTGTATACTAAGAAACTGTTCTTATTTGCTGCACAGCATTTTAAGAGACAAAATGGTGCAAGCTCCCTAGTAGTCAATAACCATTTGACCTTTCCTAACTGAGACCATGGAGTCATCTGGATTCAAACCACTCTCATGTAAACAAATTTATGCTAGCAGTTAAGAATCTGAAGGCTGCTGTGGTCTACTTTGGGACTGGCTAAGGTGTTAGATTACACAACCTCTTTTATTACCTGTTCTATACATAATGCTTTAGACACAAACACAGTACAAGTATCTGTGAATTTCAGGACACTACACAGGGCCAGATTTAGCTTTTACTCGCCACCCAGGGAACCCCATTGATTCCTAAGCATTACATGGGGAAATCTAGCACAGCATTTGTCTTCAGTTGTATTTGTTATAATTCTTTAATTACAGAGAAGTGATACCTTGGTTCTCAGTCATGTCCTATATTTAACTTCTCTTCATTTTCTTATCACACCTTTTGGTGACACTTGGAAAAATGAGATAGTGTTGTCAGGAGGAGCATGTACTGTATGTATTTCTGTATATAATGTATATGTTGAAATTATACACATGTGACAACATTTAATGTATACAGATGTGTATATTTGTATTTATTAAACCCATATATTTAAACTAATTCCAATCTAGACCAAAAATTGTTGCTTCTGCCCATAAATTGATTACAAAGGAATTGTCCGCTGGTGTCACTTCCTTTTAGAAACTGATAGAGGAAACTGACAGTATGGGCAGTAGAAACAACTGTAGATGTTGCTGTATTTAGCTCTCTACAGATCTTCCTATCTAGAGCAATTATTTCTGCCCTTAGTTGGGTTACTCTTCTTTCTTGGGCCACAGCACTGTGGTGATTTTTAAAAGAAACTGAACAGGAGTTCAGAAAAAGATTTAATAAAATAGATAATGTTTGAAAGTTTTTGAGTTATATTGGAAATTATCTTAATTCTGATAGGAGACTAATTCAGGGTAGTGAGATATAATGCCCTGTGTTTTCAATAAGGGTAGTATAGATCACTCTTCCCTTTTGTAACCACCAATAATCGTTTTATACTGTAAACCCACACACCAGTCAGTTTTTGTATGATGTATAGTTTAAGTGAAGATATTTTTGTAAGCTATTTTCCAAAATTTAAAATAGATTTTAATATATTTTTTAAGCATCAGGTTAGTCATATTCTCACCATATAACAGTATACATTGTGTTACAAACTGTTAAATTCTTCATCATTTTAAGCTCCTCATGATTAACACAGAATAGCTGGTTACTTTACCTTGGGGTAACGGGAGCTAGACCCTTTATGAAACTTTCCAAACCAGTTTGGGACTTGCCATAGAATCTTTCCAGCCAGTGAAGGAATACATTGAATTAAGCAGTCAGCATGGCTGGATGAAGAATGTCAGGTGTGGCAGACCCCCTTTCCTCAAATGCCCATTGCTGGCCTTCAAGCAAATATTTGCATTACCCATTTCAAGTTAAGCTTCAGAGCTGATGCAGTCGGTTCTAACTTCACGCAGATTCACTGGTAGTAATAACTCCATCTGTTTTAACTTCTCTTGGAGATTTGTCGTAGTATACCTCCTGAAACGTGTCCTAAGTGTCTAAAGAAGGGCACCTCCTCTTAGGAAATCCTCAGTGACCTGAAGGGAATGTAAGTTAAGGGTCTTCCTAGTGTGGAAACACACACCAGTAGTGCTTCAAATCTAACGTTTCACCTGCAGCACACTTTCCTGACTACTTCCTAGACATGCTTAGCTTTTACTCCCACTCTCACTTATTATGGAGTGAAATCATATTTAAAATCACTCCTGCCTGCTTCTAGTGACAAGAGCCAAGAGCTATGTGGTGGGGACAGTGACAGCAAAACAATGGCCGCTAAGAAATACCGATGTTGGATTTAAAGCAAAAAAATAAATCACTTGTCCCTTGAGGTTGACTTCAGGCAAAATTTTATTTCACAGAATGTTTTTAACTTGCTGTAGACAGAAAGCTAATTCTGAAGATCAGGCTGTTCAGTTTTTTTGTTGAGAACAGGGTAGAAATGTGTTTGGGCTTAATACTTAACGTTTGGTGTCCTGGCTAACCGAAGCAGTTTCTTTCACGTGCTTTGCAGTGGAACTGGCTTCTTTACAACCTTACAAGATTAGAGGTCTGGCATGATTGGGAGCACATTTAAGACAGATTAATGTTTAAAACTTCATTTACAATTCAGTTGTCAAAGAACCCACTTTACTAAATCTATAATATGGCCCTCCTTTAAGAACACTGTATGCTAGCCAATTTTTTATAAATAGTGTTTGGGCCAGCTACCCATTGGCCCATTAAATAAAGTTCGATTGCGTTTCATTTCAGCGTGCCCCCTCCCTTGCACTGAGTGCAAGAGTGAGGAGTTGGAAACTACAACCCATTGTAAACCAGTTCATATTTGCAGGATTCAAAGTATTTTCAGTACTATTTATGCTCTTTTCCAGTTGAAATTGAATGTGAGTTTATTTAAATCTTCTCTAAAATATATACTCAGATGTTATTTCTTGCCTAAAGCATCTAGTAAATGATTGTGTATTACTTTTGCTTTGGTAGGAATGCCTTCTCAGCACCAAGACATTGCTTGTTTCTTAACCACCAGCAGCATTCCTAAAGCACTGAGTAATGAATGAACAGATTTAGATCAAACGAAGTGGGGAACAAATGGAACCTTTTGGGTTAAAAGTAATTTGTTGATATTTAGTAGATTTGCCTTAAGAGCATTCTGTCTTGCCATTCTCCTTTTTAAATGGCTGTTAACTTTATATAGCAGATAAGGAGGTTGTGTCAAAAACACTGCAAGGACAGTTCTCCAAGAGCAGCAGACCTGGTTTGTCTTAAGATTTTGTGGAGCTGTCACAGCTAAGCATTTACGCTTCCTAAATAAAAGAAATTTTAGGGTATAATGAGCAATAAATATAGCAATAAGCAGTTTAATTAAATTTGGTCATCTAGGATCTGACCTGGTGGTTGAAAGGGATGGGGTGGGAGAAAAAGGGGAACTGATTGAAGTACATTCATTTCATAAAGCAGGATTTTTCCATGCACAATCCCAACTAAACTTTCTACTAAAGGTAGAAATCAAGTAAGTGACAATGGTAGATGCTTTGCTCTTTTACTTTTAAAACAGTTTTGGTTATAAGGATAAAATTGATGAAAGTTGTAAGAGAGCAAAGTACTTTGGAAGTTTTTAACTAGTTTAATTATTTTAAAGTGAAAGCAAGCTGCTGTAAGAACTAGAGTAAGCAATGTAGCAAAATTTTGGGAAAGTCCAATATGCTAATTTTACCTAATTTTGAGATTTCAGGTGAACTCTTTGTGCATGCTACCTTAAAGTATCCATTGAAAACCTTGAGAATCCCACAGTCATACCCAGGAGAGCTTCTATTGTATGTCAAGTTTTAGCTGTATTCAAGTTAACTGGGTATAAATGCTGCAGAGCGTTTGTGAAGCATGCGCTGCTTTTTGTCACGTGCATTTTGTGTGATTTTTATCATTCCCATCAGTCTGTGTATGCATACCATCAAGTTGGATCAACCTGACGAAGGATAAGGTAACGCACCCTGTGGTGTTGTCTTGTATAGTTTGAGGGCAATGATGAGCAAAAGCTCGGAGCTCCAGCCCAAAAAGCAACTGTACTCAAAGGAAAAGGAAAGCATATAATTTTAGATGTATGTTTAAGTTTAAAAAAAAAAAAATGCTGAAAATACTCACATTGAAACTAAAAGAGAAAATAAAATATAACTATTACTGTAAGTGATTTTTCTCTGGTTATTTAGAAAAAGATCTTGATGCATTCTTACTATAGTCTTTTCCCCAGTATCTCTTCTTTTCAGCAACTATCAAATATGGAGTATTTTTAAAATATGCAAGAATACTTGAACTCTCTGCAAATGTAGGTGCACTTCACAGTCACAGTGCTGTTTGCACTTAACAAAGAAGTATCACAGTTGAGCTTTTAATTGTATCTAATAGTCATGCTTGCTGAAACTTCTCCGGCATTCTAGATGAGATGAGAAAATGCAAAATTTAAGTGTACAGCTGTATTTGTGAATGAGAGTGTATTTATCTGCAGCAGTCCTGGGGCGGATAATGTTACACAGGAGAAGAAATGGTTTAACTTGCCTAAGCTTGGTTTCCCAGCTGTTCGGTTTGCATTTTAAAAGAAGTTTCTGGGTGGTCTTGCTGCTGAGCACTGGAGGATCTCTTGCAGTACTCAACTGCTCAGAGACATCTTGTTTTGATTAACTTTGCAGCACTCGGCTGTTTGCTTGAAATTCTGGAATAAGCTCTAAAGTAGTAGCTTAATGTAGAAAGCACGTGCTGGTTTCATTCTTGGTCAAAATAATTTTTTTACATCTTGTTTTTCCTTGTTGGTGTTAGTAGCGAATGATCAGCCACTCTTGTCACCTTTTAGTTTAGCCATAGAGGCAAGGAACAGAACTGTAATGTGGTAAGTTTCTTTGTCTTCAGAGTTGAAGTCTTGTTTGAATAATAAAGTCTTCATCTTTTTGTCACTCAGAGAAGAATACCCATTTCATTTTTTGAAAGATTATCCCTAAAGCTGAATTGCCAGGCACAGGGAGATGAAGCATTGCACTTAGAAGACTAGAACTTTTTAACTTACTATAACTTTCCTACTTTCCCCACTGCCTCTCCTGTCCCATATAGGTACTGGTTTGTTTCTTCTTTTTAGTCAGTGCAGCTGTGAAAGTATTGCAGTGATCATTTTGGAATTGGCCTGGCTCCACCCCAGTTACAAGACAAAAAGCTTTGATTGCTTGTAGAATTATAGTGTAATTACACCATAAGCTTTGCATAACTGTTTGAAGAGATGAAAAGATTTGTAACTTGTAGGTTTGTTTAAAAAGTTGGAAGTAGGAACATGAAAAAGTTTATACAGTATATAGAATGATACCTTCTGAGCCAAACCTCCTGCTCTTCTATTGCAGCCATAATTCTGTTTTAATTTTGTTTCTGTTCTTTCCCATGGCATATACATCCAAGTATGGCAGAGTAATCCTCGCCCCAGGTGCTGTTTTCATATCCTTCAAACTGCAAATGTCACGGGTAGATTTTGATCGAGTGCAACCTGATTGTGTTACCTCATTATTTACGTTTTGGAGTTCTTTCAGCCAGGCTGCAGTGTTTGGGCTCCAAGCAAAATGCATCCCTGAGGGCTGGGTTTGACCATGCCTCAGATGCCTGGAGAGTTGTGAGCCAGATTAAGTCAGACCATTTAAATAGTATATTTTTGCTAATCTAGCTCATCTTGAATTACGTGCACTGTAAACCTTCAAGTCAGTGTTCCCCAAACTTGAAATAACGTCCCCAAATGTAAATCTTAAATACACATTTGCTACCCATTTTTCCCCTTGAGGAAGAGGCACCAAGTGTGTTTTAACCTATTTTGCTCTTAAACGGCTCTAGGATTGAAGTATCTGTCTTGTCATCCAATGGAAATGCAAGTGTAAAGCTTGCTAACTTTTTTCTTTTCTTGATATGTTGTCTTGATGTTGACATTCCGAATACCATCTTTGGCATTTGATTTAACACCTATGAAATAACACAATTCATCTTTTAACTTTTGTTTCAGGCAAGTTTGGGCAGATACTCTTTTAATTATACTTTGTTCATACTCACTTTTCTTCCTAACTGCTTCGGACTAACACTGTTTTAAACGAACACTGGGTAGTGGAGAGCTGGGAGGTATTTTTAAGTGCTCTTGAGGCATCTGCTCCTCACATCTCTAGGCAATGTGGCTTAAGGTCATTCCTTCTCCCACCTTCTTTCCTCTGCCCTGACCCCTAGAATAAATATTTCACCTGGCTAATGCTTTAAAATAAAAGTTGTATGTCATCAATAGGTTGGTACGTGACTAAGTAACAGAA